AGTTAAAGAATGCCGAAAAAAAAACAAATTCTTTCCTCAAAGTATACAAGAGAGTACAACGTCTTTTAAAGTTGAGGTAATAATTCCCGACAAAAATTGCATACCACTGAACGTTGGAGATTTTTTTCTAACGCTCCATTATTAATCGACCGTATTTTTAAAATATTCATCGGTGAGCCTCAAATATTGCGCATTCACGTCAAATATAATATGACAAAACGACGTTATTACAGGTTTCTTTTTCTCGTCTCGTGTATACCTTTTTTTGTTGGCTTAGCTAAATCAATACTGAAAGCCGTCTATTTCTTCACTTTTTTTGCGAAAATCTAAATTTTTCAAACGCTCTTATCATCGAGTATACTTGCACGTGACGCTTATCCATTGTTTGTAAACACATTTAAATACTCCGCGACTCTAAAATTATAGAAAACACACACTGTATGAACCGGAGAAGCAAAGAGCGCGCCGAGAGTCTATGTGCTGTTGCTGACGATAAAGGCAAGAATTTACCCCGAAAAATACTTTATTCGCCGGCGATGTTGATATTGCGTGTTTAGGAAGAGAACAAAAACTTCTCTTTGTGCCTGCACTCCATGTTATCCTCTCTCTCTTTCTCACTCACTCTTTCACGCGAGCGCGCGCTCTTAACCAAAGTCCCGAGTTCATTCATCATTGTGGAAAATCCGGAACGAGCTTGAGAAATTAATTCAGCCAGTAGCAGGTAGTCGAGGAAAATTATGATTTTTCCTTGTCCCACGCAATAGAGATCGCGCGCGCCGCGGCGGTGGTGCTGCAAGAGGGAAGAGAAGAAGAAGAAGAAGGAGTAAGGCAGGCAAGCAGGCAGGCAGCAGCAAGTCGCGTATAACAACAACTTCAACTCTGCCAGCTAGTAGAGCTCGCTCGCGCTGCGAAAGCGAACTTGGCGCGCGCGAGGCAAGCGCAACTGGGCGCTTTTAACCCTGCAGGCATTGTTTTAACTTTCTTATGTACGCTTTTGAGTTGAACTTCTCTTTCTCTCTCGCTCTCTTCTGCTCCTCATAATAAGCGAAGGAGTGTAGAGGTGAGCAGAGCCGGCGGAGAGGATGCAGTGTGCAGTGCTCTATGCCCTCGCCTCCTCCTTCTCGGAGTAATACATTCGTCACAAAATACTTCATTGGAAAAGCCATTCAGTAAAATTGTCCCGTGTTGGCATTACGCGATTATATAAACAGCTCCCTACGTTCATTGCCGTTGGCTAATCTAATGACACACCCAGAGGACCTCTTACACCCCACCATACAGCTCCTTCGGCCCTCGATCCTCCTGCGCTCGAATTTTGCTGATTGCAAAGTTCTCTCTCTCTCTATCCTGCTTTGCGTTCTTGGATGACGTCATCTCTTGCGCAAACATTAACGAATTTGAAGAAAATTTCGCCTCTCGTATCTGTGCTGCTGCTGTGCACTAATCGAAGCCTCAACGATAAACTTGGCTCGTTAATCGTTATTATCGGCGTGCATACGTCTCCCGCTCTCTCTACCTCTCTATATCTATTCGAGCTGCAGTAGCACATATATGTTGGTAAATGTACGCGCGCTTGGTACGATAACACACGGATTATTTTGCGAACTACTATATGTATACGAGGGAGAGAGAGAGAGAGAGAACGACGAATTATTCTAGATATTTCAGGCTAAGCTTTGTTTAATATCACCATTGATTTAAGCACACATTGTGTACAGGCTCCTCTATACTCGTATTGCCAGATACAAGTCAACCCACCCTAATTAATCATGAGCTCAAAGTTTACTACTTCTAACTACCTGCGCGCAGACGTACACGAGTAAGCTCGACCTTTTAATTATCTATGAACGTCTGCGCGTGTGTGTGTATGTATGTGCAAAGTGTAATCTCACTCGTCAGCTCCGCGTACGTACGTGTGTGTGCGCGTGAAAGATCGCGACTGACACGCAGACTACTCCAAGATTCTTGCGACTATACAAAATTTTTCACGTTGTCGTTACACGTTGAAATTCATATGCGAACTGTTGTTTTCGCTCTTCGGAAGCTTCGTTTACCACGTGTGATGATTCGTAGATAAGGCACGAGCCGAGGGTGCAATGCCCTCCGCGTTGAACAATCAATTTACTCGAGACTGTTGCAACTCACCTGGCATAATAGCATGTATATACTCCGAGAAGACAATCAAAATCGTAAACAGCCGCGCACTCGTTTCTTTCTCCAATTATTACATTCACCCAGTTAGCAGCTAACGAAGCTTTATTTTCGCGTAATTATATAGCTCACGCGCACACACACAGGTAAACATGGCTTTTCAGCTACAAAAATACAAGCGCGCGCGTTTTTTGCTAATTAAAGAAACTCGTTTTACCTTTTGGCCTTTGCCGAGAGATAGAGAGAAGAAAAAGGAGAGGATCCCAGAAGAAAACGCAACGAAATCTTGAAGAAAAACCTTGTACAGATGCATTACTTTTCCATCGCGCTTGTCAAAGCGCGCACGTATAGCAGCTCGCACAAGCAGCGCATTCGAATCGTCTTAACCAAACACTTTCTCTCGCGTAGCGAGCGCGCAGAGCAATGCAGTACTGCTACTGTACCCGCCAAAGAGCTGCTGATGTTGCTGCTTGCTTGCTTGCTTGCTGCACGCCTTTGATCGTTGAGAGAAACTCTTTTCGCAATTTTCGAGGCCCCTTTTTTTACGCGCAAAACTTAATAAAGTAAGCGCTTCCGCATTGGCCATAATACATCCTTTAAACATTTTTTTGTATATAGACGGCTATACGACGATAAACAAAATCATCGCGAGATAATACGATCTTTTTTCTCTGTCTCTCTCGCTTTTCGACGACTACGCCGCGCGCTTCGCGATTATAATATTTCTTCGCCGCGAGCACGCCCAGACACTAATAAAAGCTCTCAACCAGTCATCGTAAGACACTTTTCTAGCTTTCCAGTCGTTGCGGCGGCCGCCGCGCGGCGTATCCGTCTTTCGAGATTTCAGCTTGCTGCTCCGCGCAGAGGTCTTTTTTTCATTCCACCAGCGCGCGCGCACACACACACACACACACACGCGCGCGCGCGTATACACGTACGCGAGTTAGAGCTCTCTGAGATCTCGCTCCGAACTTTGCAAACCATTTTTCTTGCCACCGAGTTCAGCCGCAAAAAGGAATTACGGACTGATGCGTTTATGCGACGCAATTTTAAACGGATTACCCCGGTACGCTCGCCCGCGCGCGCCTACCTCTCTCTCTTCTCGGTCGAGGTTCCCTATATGCCTCTCTAGTTGCTGCGTCCTCTCTCTCGCTCGCTCACTCACTCACTCTCTCTACGCGGATTCAAAGTACATTAGCAGGCTCGCCTTTTCTCCGCTATCGGCATGATAATATATATGTATAGCGTCTCCTATATGTATATAATACGCCTGGCCGAGCTTTAAAAGATAATTTAGTATAGCAGCTCCGGCTCTTCGCGCGAGAGCAACGCTCCTTTTTCCTTTTCTAGCGCAGTTCTGCTGCTGCTGCTGCTTCGCGCCCTCCTCCCCCTTTTTTTTCACCCGTGCCAAGGACACCTGAATTACTCTTGAATTAGCCATAGCCACGTTATAATTTAGCCGGTTTATAATTTTACGTCGTGCATTCTCTGTATCAAATACTCGTTAAAGTCCGTTATCCTTATCTTCGCTCGTTTCGCATAATTTTTTTCCCTCCTTCTTATCCGATTTTTCGCTAACGGATAAGGATCTGAGACGATTAGCCCCTCTGTGAAGTTGATGATCGTTACATCGGATCTTACGGAACGACCATTATTACACGGTTTTACAAAATGAAAAATCCGTCAAAAATGAACTCTCACGACCAGTGCCCTCGGCACAAAGTCGAGAAACAACACAGCGCGATCGCGAACAAAAGTAAAAGCCACACCGCTCTATAGAGCTGGACACGGGGACTAATTTAGCGAAATGCGCGCGCGTGTATGTGTAGTATATATTGCCACCCACGCGCGCATATATAAATGCGCTCTTGTTTTCCACAGTTTTGCTTAATTAATGGAATCATTGCGCCCGCGCGCAAAACGGTACACCCAGTGTGCCTGTGCTGCTGCTGCATTTATACATAGCCACGCTACTTTCTATACACGTATACAGCTCTCTCTCGCGCGCGCGCGAGAGTCCCCCGAGGCGCGGCTTTAATCGCTTCACCATTTGCATACCGATTATGCATCCCTCTCTCTCTCTCTTTCTCTCGCTGCAACACGTGACCTTTTGTGTATGTATGTATGTATTATATATACGTTCACGCGCTTGCGAGCCTCTCGCCGTATCCGTACGTGTGTGTATGCGTCTTTTTATTACATAAGTGAAATGCGCGTAATTAACAACTTGGTTCGTTGTGTGTGACTTACTATTTTTTAGCTGCACACGAGCTCGCGCGCTTAATAATAATGACGAGAGAGAGAGAGAGAGAGAGAGAGAGAGAGAGAGAGAGAGAGAGAGAGAGAGAGAGAGAGAGAGTTTATACCGGACCAAAATGAAATTACATTGCCGCGCGCGCTTTTTACCCGAGCCCAAGATAAATAAAGAGAGGCGGCCGCTTAAAGGCTATAATAGTGACGAATAAATACAAATTAAAAGCCAGCAGCGCGCGCTTGTTTCGTAATATACATTTCCTAAAGTCGCTGCAGGTAGAGAGGTAAAGAGCTTATGTATATTTTTTTGGGGATGGATAATGCGATTTTAATCCAACGGCCAATTATCGCGGAAAAAGAACTCTGGTGGCTGTGGCGGTGCTGGTCGTGGTGTATAAGTGCGTTAGCCGGGGTAGAAATCGTTAAAAATGTACGCGACGCCCGCCACCGAGCTTAAAAGGCGTGCGCGCTCGCTAAAACACCGTGTGAATTATCCTCGAATTAGGCCGCTAGGGTACAAAAGAAAAAGTACTTGATAGCTATATGGTGCAACAGCGCTCTAAATATATACTTTGTTTTTTTTTTCGTACACACAGGCACTGCACCACCGATTACATAGCGGTTTACGCCGGGCCGACGGTCAACAGCGCCCTGCTGAAGACCTTTTGCGGCAAGCAGAAGGGCAGTGTCACCCACGTGGGCAAGGATCTGCTGGTCGAGTTTCGCTCGGGCCCCGAGGTGGCTCCCTTCGATTACAACGGCTTCGTGGCGTCGCTGAACATGATCGAGATCACGACCGAGGCGCCGACCACGACGACGCCGACGCCCGAGACGACCAGCAAAGCCGGTAACGTGTAGCAGCGCAAATTTTTTACTCTAATATATTTATAGCTTGCGATCGATTCGTGTAAACCTCGTACTTTTATTTTCTCTCTTATTTACCGCAGTGGAACCGATGCGCACGCCCGTCTCGACGCACGACGGAAACAACAATCATACCAGGAACTCGTTGCGCGCGAAGACTTACGCGCCGCCGTCGACGTCGAGCGGCGGCGGCAATTGCGACGTGGAAGTGAGCAGCGAGCCCCATCGGTCCGGCTCGCACAGCACCAGAGGCCGAGCTCTGGCACCCACTTGCCGGCTCACCCTCATTGGCCGGGAATACGATACAGTGCTCGTGGTTATAGCCAAGTACAATCTCAGGTGAGTGAGGCGCAAGCAATGCACCGTTGAAAATATTTACATTTAAATTGATGTGCGGCTAGAGGTAGTTTTTTTCCTTCGAACAAAACATTTCGTCGATGTGATTCCGTCATTTGTGACTTAGGTGTATTACTTATACAATTACTTTTAATTTATTACTTGCAGGTTTATACATGCAGGCATTCGCCATCTAGTGGTGAAGGCAGGCTTTAGTTGTGATTGAATTATCATAATATTTCGAGCAATTAACAGACAAACTAAATCAGTATTAAATCAATAATTTTCAGTTAAAATATTTAAACTTGAGTACAGACTTACATCTTTTTCGTTAAATTTTGCTTTAAAAACATTTTCATTACTTTTTCGTATAGTTCAAGCAGAAAAAAATCAGCATCGATAAATTAATTTTCAAAAAGATTTCAAGAAAAATATACAAACGGGTGGATTATGAATTTTTCGTAAATTCGGGCTTTTTTCCTTCAATTTGCTGTCCTGCGCTTAACGCATAACATAATAATACATAATATCACGTATAACGCATGTCACCCATGTATAGTCGCATCCATATATTACATCACACGTGTAATAATCCTGGTGTAATGGTAATAGGCTTAATCGTGCGTAACGGCCTTTCGCGCGCGCTCGCGAATCTCACTCGAACTTTTTCGATTTATCACCATGCCGCGTGCTGCTGCGCGAGAAAAAGTTACACTCCTGCTGCTACTACTGTGCACGGATGGGTTTGATTATCAGTTTTTTTTTTGCGCGCGCGCGCCAACACCGTAGTGGGACGTCATTATTTTTAAATGATTCGAATCCGAGACGCTTCGATTAATACTTCATCGACGCGCATGATCGATCCGGCTGCAGTCTACGCGCGCGGCTCTGACGCGTGTAATGATTAATGCACGAAAGTCAAACGGGGCGAAAAACAAATTCCGTAACACACACGCACGCACATCCCGACGTCGGCCTCGCCGAAAACGCCATAAAAGTTGCGTCGAGCTCTTCGTGTGCGTCCGCACGTCGTTGTGCACACGATGTTATGCGCGTAGCGAGCGTATACACACAGTTTTTACGTGAAAAAAAAAGTAGTCGTCGCCGTATACATACGTACATACGTATATACGAGTCGCGTAAACGAAACTTACTCCAAAGTACACACTGCAGCGCCGTCGTCGTCGCAGCCGCCGCCACGGCACACACGAGCTGTGTATAACGTGACAGAAAAGCCATAAAGAGCCGGCTCGAAACGTAATAGTACAAACTCGAAACTACTCTCTTTCTCTGGCTCTCGGCGGCAGCGGCGAGTAAACACTCCTATATCTATACACTCGCATAGAAGTAGTAGTAGTAGTAGTGGGTAGTAATAGTAGCAGAGACTAGGCGATTGTAACCCATAGTGCAGCGCGGCGCCGGGAGTGGCAGCGGTATTAGCAATGGTAGCTGCAACGCACGCAATTGTATATATAGGCAGCAGTACTAGTACACTCGGCATAGCATAGCTCTCGCGAAGCGATAGAAAAAGAGTAAATAAGCCGACAGAGAGAGAGAGAGAGAGAGCAAAGGATCAAAAGAGAAAAGGGTAGCTAGAAAATGTTTTTTTACGCGCTTGTGTGTGGGTCGAGACTGCTTCAACGTATATACACACCTCGCGTGCAGAACTCTGTGCATATCCGGCATTGTGCGCGCGATGAAAAATGTATGCGCGTAAATTTTTAGACATATTGAGTGGCTAGTAGTGGATGGCCCGTGCAAAGCTCGCGCGCGAACGATGCGAATCCGCCGAATGTCTGTGTACGTCGGATGAAGGAAAAAAAAAGTATCGATTTTACATTGATTTATGGACGCAGTGCCGTTTTATCTTTTCTACGCGTTTTCTATGTATAATATACGAGAGAGAGAGAGAGAGAGCGCGAGTAATATGGCACGTAATATATTTCTGCCCCGCGTTTCGCGAAACTAATTAAAACTCGAATAAATTAACAAGCGCTCACGTATTTCCATTATATAAGACTTGAAAAAAAAACGTCTCCCACGCGTTCATTCGCTCGAAACGTTTCACGTGCGCGCACACACACGGTCCAATTGAGACCGAATCGAAATACTCATTTTCAAAATATACCTAGTTCTCACTTTTCAATTTTCTTTCAAAAAATCTTCGCACGCGAGTAGAGCCGTAAATGTTCGTGAGCGGCACACACACACACACGTCGTTGCCGCACAAGTAGTCCGAGTAATGATTGCATCAGACTCCGGGAGCGCGTGCACACGATTCAAAGCCGAGGGGTCTTGTCGTCTCGTGTGCGCTTTCAAAACTGATTTCAATAGAGTGAACCCGCTCTCTCTCTCTCTCTCTAGTTCTATATAGATATATGTAAAAGCCTCGGATAACCATTGGAGCCAAATCATAGCCGTACGCTTGATAAAATAATTCAAGAGAAAGAAAAGTAAACTCGATGTGCGGCGTACTTTGAAATTCATTCTGCATATGTATAAGCCACGTATACGAGCTGAATAAAATAAGCAAAGCATAGACTCTCTCTCTCTCTCTCTCTTATATAGAAAAATGTCTTATCGGTCTCTCTTCTGCTATGCACACGAACGTACAGAGATGTTTTATATGGCAGATTGAAAAAGGATGCGGGGATATCTATCGTTCGCGCATTTGGGATACATACACGCGTATACGGCGCAGCAACATAAAAATACCAATAAGTGTATGTGCGCCTCGCGCGTATTTGGAGCATGTCGGAACACTCGATATAAGTTTCATTCTTTCGAGAAAGAGAGAGAGCTCTTGTTTTTTTCTCTTTCTCTCTTAGCGAATTTCCAAACGATTTTCTAAAACATTCCTCGCTCATCTTTTTTGCTTCTGTTTTCAGTGTTCCGGACTGCGTGTCGCAGATCGAGGTTTTCGACGGACTGGTCGACAAGAAGACCGCGGCGAACGCCAAGCCCATCGGCAAAATATGCTCGCTGGAGCCGCATCTGAAGCACTCTTCGAGCCACGAGTGAGTTTATATATAGATGTATATACTAGGTGCGAACACTCTGCAATGATGGGGTGTGTGCAGAAATTGCATCGATAATACTTATGATGCAAGCTTGGGTCAGCACCCTTCGTTCGACTGGACACGCTTGTATAATGAAAAGCTCACGCACGCGCGTGCAACCTTTGACAAATGGCCATTTATATTTATGTAAAATGCGATTTGTGATTGTTATATGTGTTTATATGTACACGCGCGCAACGTTGGATTTGCTTTTGAAATTTCGAATACACGGCCAAATGTTTGCGTTGTACAATAACTGCTATATCTACGCATAGCGCGCGTACCGGAAAGAGAAGCAGAGTACCACCCCCCCGCGCGCCAACAAATACAGATGTGTCACGTAATAACATAAATGTATGCAATCACGAGCTTTATTGTTCCCTCACGCGTAGACATGTGACGTACGGATATTATGCAAGCACGTGACGCGCACGCACCGAGTCGTCGAACGCAGAGTAGCGCCATATAATGTGCACATATAGTAGGTACGATCGTGTGTGCATACGTCGAAGACGTAATTTTTTTTTTTCATTATACGTCGCATTGGATTAAGCCGGGACGTGTACTTACGCTCGCTCGTGCGATTGAATTCGATTTGTTGATGATTGCTGCTGCCGCTGCTGCTCCGAGAGCTTTCGAACACGCCACAAGCGTATGTGTCTTGTATTTACTTGCTCTCTCTATCTCTAGTGGTAGTTTAATCGTCCCAATATTGCAATTATCCGGGCAAATATTGAATTTTTGGGATATATCGATCGCTATCCGAGAGAGATTCGAGTGCCTGGGAGCGATTCAATAATTCTGCAGATGTTCCATATTTGGATACAGCACGGAGGAGCGGATATGGCAACTGTAACATCTTTCCTGTGTGTGCTGCTGCTGCTTCGGCTGTGAAAATGAGAGCCCGAGAGCTAGCAGCAGAACGAGAGGAGGGCGCGCCGCGTAGACACCGCCGGAAGCATCGGGAGGGTCAAGCCAAAATACTCGGCCACTTCCGCAACTTTGCGCTCACAGCTCGACAAGGAGTGTGAGGAGAGAGAGAGAGCAAGTGAACTCGACTCGCAGTGGTGGTGGTGTAGTGTCAAGGCGCCGCCGGGCCGGATGTTTCTTCCTTTAAACCGTATCCGAAACACGCGGGGATAAAACGAATTTTTGCCCCGCTCGCGCGTGCGATCGTGGAAATTGATATTTTCAATTTTAGCGTCGAGGATATATGAAATGAAGCGCGCGAATAGACCTATAATTCAGGATAGACAGCCGCGCGCAGTGTGGTGTGCTGTGCCATATACTACTATAGCGGCAGCGGCAAGAGCACCTGTTGCACTCAAACTTGAAATATTTTTGCCCTCGCGCGAGCAAAGTTCAAATATTTCTAACGTGCTAACCAACGCGTGTATACGCTCGTCATCTAATGGCTCGATCGATGGAGTGAGTGCATTGCTGCGCCGCGTGTCGCGTGTTACGTACGTATGTGTGTCCCGAAACTCGAGTTATCGGCAAAATTGACTAGTACTCGTGAAAATTATGAAAATAGGAAATTTCCAATCAACCGCACGAGATGCTTATTATACACTTATGTGCCGTAGTTAGTACGTGCGTCATACGCGTGTAAGCAGCCACGAAAACGGAATTCAATCTCGGCATGTATTGTGTCTGTGAAATGCAAAACAGCTTTTTGATGGTAATCGATATCTCGCAGATGCCAACATCATCTTGAATCTCAATTGTAATCGAGCCCTATCCTTCCTTCTTCTTCCTTCGGGCTCCTCCCTCCTCCTGCTGCTGCCGTCGAGTCGTACGCACCCCCCCTTTTACATGTACAGCGTCATCCGCCTCTTTATCTCATCTAAATTCGAATTGCAGCCGAATGTATATGGAGCAGGCAGCTGTATATACCTATATATACCTAGACACACGACGGAGTATTGTGCGCGAAAACTCAGTGCTCTCTCTCTCTCTGTCTCTCACTCTCTAACTCACTCACTCTGCGAGTAAGAGAAAGAGCTAGAGAGAGAGAGAAGGATGAGACAATGGAGGCCCGTACCGTGTGCATAATGGATTCAAGATGAGGAACTTTGTCTCGCGAAATTTTAGGCGCGATGGGGGGAGAGAGTGAGAGAGAGATTGATTTATTCAAGTATCCGTGTGCATGGCTCACGCTAAATGAAGCGTTTTTGTTGGCCTTTAATATTATGAAGAGCTTCGGAGTTTGAGGAGTTTGTGTGTGCACGTATGCGTGTGTATGCGCGCGCGTGTGTGTGCGAGAAAGGCGAGAGACAGCAAGAGGCAGAGAGAGAGAGTGAGTGAGAAGTGCTAGTTTGCCGAAGTTAAATTTTGACGAACTTTGAAGTTTCATTCGATTGACTATTGGACGACGAGCAACTTTTCGAAGGTGTCGCGTTGACTAGTGGTATAATGGCGATTGTCATTTCTCCTCGTGTAGTATTGCGTTTTATAATTCCAATCCAATGCGATAAAAATTATGGCTAATTTTTTTTTGTTACAGGCACGTGGAAAAGAAGAAATACTCGTCCAGCAGCAGAAACTTGACAATCTTATTGACCAAAGGCAGCGACTACGACTTCATGGACGTGTCGTACTCTTTTCGCAACGGTAAGTATTAATGCTGTGCTGACGATGATCGAATGAAGGTTGAGCATTATGCATCGTACGCAGCTGCGCATCGAGTTATTCTCGCGCCAGATTCTGTGATCCGAAAACGAAGTCAATTTGCAATTGCATAAGCCAAATTAGTTTCTCAATTCCCGCATCTCGTAACTCGCTTCTCTCTGTACGCTCTATACAAAAGCTTCCATCCCCCTTTAGAAATCGACACTTAGAGATCCCAGAGCGTATTAGCAGCAGCAGCAGAAGCAGCAGCAGTGGCTGCAGTAGCAACAGCAGCAGCAGCAGCAGCAGCAGTAGCAGTAGCGGCAACAGCAGCAAGCTAAGAGCTTAATCTCGTTAACGAAAGTCTCATCCGACGCGCGCGCGCGCGATCGTTAAACGAGAGCAACCGAGTAATTAGGTGTCAAAGGTATGACTCTCGAGTGTCACTGATACTTCTATATATAGAGAAGCTGCATCTAGAGACTTTGAGGAGCTTGATAGTCTTGTAGTTCTGCGTATAATGCAGTTAAGATGGTTTCACCGCGCTCGCTCCACAATCGGCTTTTTCCTTCTTTTTTTTCTACTCTCCCCGCGCGTCTTTTTCATTTTTTATCAAAAGAATCAAAAGAATTTTTCAAGTGGCCAGTCGCTTTAATGTTTAATCTAGATTCGACGCGATTAAGCTACAATATCAATGCGATGCATCACTCGGAACCAATCAGCGCAGTGCAAATGACTCTTCCCCGCGTCCCAGAAAGTGAACAAAAAATATAAAGAGCTTAATTAGTGAATGCACATTTTTTTTGCTGTTAGCGCGCGCGCTTGCGAGCACAATTATTCCTAAGCGCTGCGAGAAAAAAAAATTTCCAATCGTTTAGCCCCATGTTTCACGTTTTTTCTGACTTTTCTATCTACTAAATACGATTCGAGGCAGTAATTCCAAATAAGCACATCGATGTACACGCGCAACTTTTTTGTGCGCACAAAAACTACAAGAAAAACTTGTACTACTACTACACTGGCTCTCTGTATGTGTTACATACGTCTGCCTCTTTCCCTCTCTCTACCTCTCGCTCTCTCTCTCTAGAGAGAAAGAGGATAGTACAAGCGCTTTTACCAGACTCCTCTCTCTCTCTCTGTGCGGGGCTAAAAAAAACTAATCCAGCCATTAGTTCGTATGAACTGACAAGCTCCCGCAAGCTATCCTTTTGTTGTAGACGAATTCCAATCAAGCCGAGTACCAGAGCTCGCCTCTGCTCTGCTGCTGCTGCTGCTGCTGCTGCTGCTGCTGCTACGTGCGCACATTCTCGCGACCTAGCCATCGAAAAATGTTAACTTTGTTACTGCTGCTGCTGCTGCTGCAGACAAAAAAGACTGACGGACGTCGAGTATAACATACATGCAGAGCGTACATCGGATGCTATCCGTAAAGATAATCAACCGAGTTGTGTATTGTACCAAACGATGCTTCCAAAAACAACAACAAAAAAACCCCTTTTATTACTCAATTTTTGATTTTCGCTGCGATCCATACCCTCGGTATACACGCACCACGAATTAATGCGCCGCCGTCGCCGTTTTCACAGATTTCGTGACGGAGCGAGAGACGTCGACTCAGCAGGCTAAAACTTACTGCGACGTGGAGTACTACGGGCGTAGTTCGCCAAAAGCAGGAATGGTGCTTCATCCGAAGATGGATCGTTTCAGTTCTGAATCCGGCAACGTCAAGTGCAAGCAGCATTTCATACCAGCTGCCAATCAAGCTGTCATCATAACGGTAACTTTTGACGAGATATAGTATATGCAATGCTTTCTCTCTCTCTGAGAGAATTTACGCGCGAATAAAATTTGAATAACCATCTCTCTCTCTCGTTGTTTGTTGCCGATGCTCATTTTTGTTTCTCTCGCCCGTACATATACACGATGTACTACTATACACAGCTGAACAGCACTATGAACCAAACTTCGGAGAGTCGCTGCACCACACTGTGCGGAGATCAGGGCTGCAGATGTGCCAGCGACGAAGCACTCGACAACATCGACCATTTGCTCCTTGTCTCGCAGAATCTTGGCAACGTTCTCGCTTGTCTCTGCGGTAACAATCGGGTAAGCTCTCCCTGTCTTTCTTCCCATCCTCTCTACTCTCCTCTCCTTTCTCCTTCTATCTCTTCGTTTAATTCCTCGTGAACGAAAAGTAAAAAAAAAAAATCGAAAAACTTGTTTGAAATTCATCGAAAAGAGATGCGCCTGACGATGGAGACCACCATCCCCCATATATCTCTAACCGACGGCCCTTCTTTTTTTCTGCCCACACACAGGACTGGCTGCCCGTGGAATTCTGGAGCACGTCTCCGGTATACATCGAATGGTCGCGCTCGAGCCACACCGGCTGGAATTTAACGGCCGAGTACAAATTTGCCGAGGACAATTTGTGCGGGGCTCACGAGGCGGCTCTAGATAGATTGGAAGGTGGTGACATTTTGGCCGGTCACTCGGCGAATTTCAGTTTCGCCCTCAATCATTATTACCAGCAGAAGTGCACTTACATCATCGATTCGCCGCCCCAGCGTGAACTCGTCATTACGATCGAGTCGAATCAGACCAGTCAGTATCGAAGCCAGTTCAGCAGCATGCAGAAATTATTATCGAAACGCTCGTACGCGCGCGATGACGATTGCGGACGGCCGACTACATCCGGCGGTTTTACGCGTCATTAAGAGGGTGTGCGAGAGGAGATCGGAATCTTGTTAAATTTTGCAATGAAATGATCATGAAGTCCAGAATCGGAGAAGTACGAGAATCGGCCATGTAAATACGGAAAAAGAGCTTCGGAAGCGGTGCAATAATGGAACGTTTTTTTCTCGAGTTTTCACTCGAGTTCGTGCGATATTTTTTTGGTCACGTCGACGATATTGCAGTAGTGTACGAGATGATACTTACACGCAGACACGTGCTTTTTCCCGTATAACCCGGGTTTGGAAAATTTTCCGACATTCTGGATTCAACTATTTTTATTTGAAATAGCTAAGCTATGCGCGATTTAACACGTGGGCTTATTATTTATGGCTTTGCAGCAGCATATCAAACTTCGGAAATAAATTTGCACGAAAAAATTTTCGCGCGTGCGGAGAATGAATATACTTGGAAAACGATGAGGAGGGGCCTATAGAAAAGTTACCTCGTAAACCTTACATAAAAAGACTAAACCGGTCAACGTAGCGACCGCGCATAGAATACGTAGTTTCATATTTCTTCCCGTGGTATATTAGTCTTTATTGTCTCTGTAGGAACGTAAAATAAATTCAAAATGTAATTTCAATGCTTTGTTCTCGCATAATTCTGTTTATTTAAATAAATTTCCCTTCAACCTGCAGGACCATGCTCGGCTTGGAATTTAACGATCCACGAGTATAACAAGACATCGCCAAATCCGGAAGGACCAAGATTACACACGTTTTGTCCTCGCGACATCTCTAGAAACTTCACAATTGAACCCGAGCTTCGCTCCGTTATAGTCAAGTGAGTTCATTATTTTTCATTATCAAATGAAACGGTATTCATAAAATGGCTTGATTTTTCTTGAAATCATTTTCTTTTATTTTTCCAAGAAATTTTCTTTAAATTCCATCAAGCACTTCAAAAAAGTAACAGCTTCGCTTCACTATTAATGAGATTACTCGCTCTGTAATGTAACTCCTCCTTTCAAACAGCGAGCATAATGAACTTAGCAGCATGCGAAATCCATTTAACGTCGACATTTTTCCTTGAATTGTTTTTTACCAGGCTGCAAGCACTTGGCAGAACTGCTCCACGATATACGCTGCGCTGGCGCAGTCACACGGCTAATTCGACGCGTCGTGGTAAAAATCTCGCAGGGCTCAGTAATAACATCGCCCTGGCAAGTGCTTCCTCGAGTCGGATTATCAGCTGCTGTCGTCTTGTAATTTTTGCCATATTATTTGCAAACTTTGCTCGAACAATGGTGATATTTTAATGAAGAGAACAATGCAAACAATAAGTGTGGCAATTAATTCGAACGAGCATTCGGATGTTGTTTCTTCATCTTCTAACTGAAGAAAAGGTTGTACAGAGCAATAATTTTAGATAAATTATCGCTTCGCTTGACTGTAGAGACGATCATTTTGATTTATGTGAATTGAACGAATATTTGAAAAGACTGCAATGTTATAAGGAGGGGAAAAGTATAGTACGAATTTCTTACGATAAATAATCGTGTCCATTTAAGCTGCAATAAATTGAATTTATTGCGAGCCTTACTATTATACTTATAGAATTAAATTGAAGGAAAAAACCTAAGATAAATCTGGTCAAAACTAGATGAAATTATCACAGTGTTTCGAATTCAAAGATTATCGAAAAAAAATTATGTAAATATAAGGTACGTAATGAATAAATGTATATTATACCCTTTGCTCAACAGAGCTAATTATGTAAAAAAATTATTCTATTAGTATAAATTTCATGAAATTGATAAACATCGAACTAAATATGTCGTGAACATATTATGAATTGATAAAATTGATTTAAAAAATGAAAATGGTCCTAAATGTAAATAGCAAATTGAAGGTAATCGGAAGACGTATTCGCGAGAAAATGTAAAATTGTGGTGACATGAAATTGCGTAAATGCAAAGATTGTAAATTTCAGTTAATTTTTATTGACCCTAAATTTTATTCGTAAAAGTATAATGATTGAAATAAAAGTTTCACGTGTAAACATTTTTAAGTGAATTCAATACTTGTCTAGAAATCTAGAGCGACGAACTATCGTATACCGAGATAAACTGCTTCAAAAATTTACTATGTTTCCTGAGGAATATACTCAAAATGTAACTGAGAAATATACTCAAAAATTCTTATAAAAATGAACATGTTACATAATAATAAAAATAACTATGAAACATGGTAATTTTTTCTCAGTCTAAACAATCGTTTTGATATTTATTTTTGTACCTAAACAAATGATCATTCATCAATCGTTGTAAATTTACTTCATCTTTTTTTAACCGATCATTTTTATTAATGATGATTAGTTACTTCAATATGTACTATGACACGTTACTACATTATCATTATAAAAATGTAAATTTGTACTTAATACACTCGCAACCTTAATAAAGAATAGGAAAAAAATATTATTATATGACATAAAAATAAAAATATACTACTTGCAAAATTACTCGAACAGTTTAACATACCGGGCCTATACTTATTCTAATTAGTGTTTTTTTTTCGATAATGTATTTAAATAAAATAATCGTGAGTTTTTCGTTTATCAAAAACATTTCTTTAGAAATAATAGTTTTTAGCTTAAAACATGTGTAAATTTCAAAATTAAGGAAAAACTTAGTTAAGGCAGCATCAAAATTTAAGAACAAAAAATAATTTTTTCTTTATGATACTTATAGTCATCAAGTCATTAATGCATCAAGTTTGTACTTTAGTTTCATTGATTCAACACAATGAATTTCGAGTATTTTGTGTACGTGTGCGTTTGGACACTCCCTTCCGTTTGATTCTAAAACGTAAGTGAGTGTACATGTAAGATTTTCTAATTGAAAGGATTTGTATATAATGAAAAAACTGAATTTATACTTTTACCCTACTCAATTTCCAATGCATTATGTAATGGATAAAAATAACATCAGATCGGATGAAATTTTTATAAGACGTGACAGATCCTGCGACTAATAAATTAAGAGTTTAAGGTTGTAAAGTTCTATGGAAGCAAGAATAAAAAAATGATAAAATAGAATATAGTATAAATGTCGATTAATCGGCTGTAACGATAAATATTTATATTGGAGAGTGCAAACGAGTGTATTTTAATGAACGAGCTTCTTTTACCGTAAGCAGAGCACTCCATTTTTGTTATTATAATGCATCCGATTACTGTCCAGAATTATTCAACATTATTCATCTGACTAAAATTATAAAGTAAAATCATTTTTTCATGCTGAATAAAATGCAATTTGTATTCAGACTAATTGCTAACAAATTCTGGACAAGTAATCGTCGATAAAAAATTTATTGATTATTATTAAGAAACCACAATAGAACTCTAAAACATATTGAAACACTATTAATGTATAAATTTTAAAGATAAGTAGCGTATTATAAATATTAAATGAATTGTGAAATAAATAAAAGAAATGAAATTTTAATTACCTGCGTTGGTAAAAAAAAGTACATGATCGTAGAAAGCAATCTTTTTACTTCTGCGCGTGAATTTTTAATGAATAGCTGAATTTTATGTGTATTCCTCGGTGTTTTTTTTTTGCTTCGAAGTATTATGTTTTAAAAAGAAATTTAGCTACATAAAATATATTGATTGCACACTTTTACCTATCCCAAGATTAGATATTTCCTATTTCATGCTCTTCATTTGAAAATTAGTAGTTATTGATATTAGTTTTATGAATTGTTCGTCCAAGATGCAGATGATAAATAAAAAAATATGAACTTGAATTTTCTAAGTGTATGAAATTATTTATTCAAACAACATTAGTATTATTATATTGCAACGGAATTTTGAATTTTAGGAATAAGAATAATGTACTCCTGAAGGATTTCAGCGCGATAATCGCAAGACCGGCTATTAATCTCTACGTTCAACCATCTAAACGTACTTATTCTCTTCGATGTTGACAACGGTTATGGTTGGACAAGCGACTTTCATTCATTACAATATGCAGCTAATATTCATCTTTTAGCGTAAGATCATTTTAATCAAAACTTAGTATCAAATGGATACAGACCAAAATATCAAACATATAATCTAAACAGGTCATTGACAAAAAAAACAAAAATTACTGACATTTTCAGAAATAATTATCATAACGCTAATGAAACAACTGAATTCATTCCGAATCTATGTCCGATGTTTCAATAATCAGCATGTCTTCTTTGCTATCATCTACATTTTCTACAAAATTTTTATCTCTTCTTGTTGAATTGGACTTCGAAATTAACTCAAAATATTTTTTTAGTGCTAGATTTACTTCCTTCTCCAGATCATCAACTTGTTGTGATAGTTCGGATATAGTTTGGAGTAACCACAAACTATTTTCCTTTGATAATACTTTTGCTCTGCGTACACGCCTACGATGTCTTATTTGCGGAAGGCCCAATGAGTTACCAGTTTCCTGAAAAATAAAGTCGTAGAATTCTTTTCTTTAATGATATTTCACGGCAAATGAAAATAACATTCTACCGATGCAGAGTAACGAATTGATTTTTTTTTAATATTTTCATTTTTGTAGACAATCAGATTCCAACAATTTTAACGAATTTTTTCAGATCGATACTCAAAATCGTTCACGAAGTTGTAAATTACTTTATAAGTACATGTACATAATATTTCTGGAAATGAAACGTTCTAAAGTGCGTAAGACAGACAAGTACACCAACGTAAATATCTAACCCGCTCAGGTTTGTTTACGTCCACGGTGTTCCATATACACGAGGCCACTGTATTGTTATCATAGGAAATCGAGATGCACGACAAGCAAAACAGACAACTTAGATCGAATGCGAATAAATATTTTTTTACCACGAAGCATTGCCGAAATCTACAGGTGATCTGTGTCTGAGCTCCGTCAATCCGTGAACTTGAGCTGCAATTCTCCTCTGCAATTTCGGAGTCCTCCAAGATTGTTCTGCTCATCGCGACACTTTGTATCTTCGTACTGCGTCTTAGTATTCACTTGATGCTAAATTGTAAGATTGTAAGATATATTTAATAATTGGACGGCTTTTACTTCTGACAGTAACATATGAAGGATTATTCGAAATGCGAATAAATAATTTACTCGATAATTAGTAAACATTTTCAAAGCACAAAAGTAAAATTGATCAAAATTTCTTTTCTAGTTTAACTATTTTTTTTCAAAAATCTTTGTGAGAGCGGAAAAGTTTTCAATATAAAAGTACTATTTATTATAAATTTAGTTAATCAATGAAGATCAGTTAAAAAATAATACATTTTAATCTACCTCTGACATCCACTTGCAATAAAAAAAACAATTGTTACTCACTGAAACTCCAAGTTCATTCGTTTGCTTCAGCACTAATGAAACAAAAATTCACAGGTTAGATAAAGACCTTCAAGCTCAAACTGCTCAAGTGTTGTTTTGAATGACAGATACAATATATTAATTCCGTGACTGCTGGCTCATACGCACTTTCATGAGTTATCGAGTCACTTTGAGGGGGAGTTAGAGGGCGACCAAACGCTCTTCGTATTCTTTCAAAAAGTGTGAGAGAGGGAGAGGATACATCTCCTAATTGTATATCTCTTACCCCTTCCTCGTTAGCTGTCTAGTTTGAGGAAAGATCCTCTTCGATTTATGGCTACCGGGTACCGTTGCAATGTGATACTGCTAATGTGCAATTACAATTTTTTTATTTATTTCCTAAAGTGAGATCAAGTCTCATTATCTTTTATTGGTCGCAAAATGCAAAACTAATTTTAATTTTATCTGAACCAATTAAAAGAATGTAATGTAATTCAGAAGATGATATATTTTGCTCGCGTTTCGCGATCGCATATCAATCACTTGTGAACATTCTTGGAATATTCAATGAGATGAAATCGACGTAGATGCGTAATTCGTTGATGAGAAATTAATGGTAATTACTCCATTTGGAACGTTTCAAATATCAATAATTGATCTATGATTGAAATCTTTTCTTTGACAAACCAGAATTAGCAATAAATGAAGATTTATGTGATCGCTTATGAAAATGAATTAATTAATTCTCGGCCTGTTAATGTATTCAATTTAGAACGAAGACAATAGATTTAATTATGTAATGATAGTATAAAAATGTTCATAAAACTGTTTGATAAAAATAAATCAGTGATTGTCGAGTTGATGTATTCGATTCATTTCAACCAAACATCCAAAATATAGTCGGATAAAGGAATAGAACTCACATAATATGTAAAATTAACTATTGGCTCCATGAGTAAAGTAAGCTCTGGTGCGCCTCAGATAGTAAACCTCATTGAAACTATAATGAAAGTGCCGGATTTATGAGAGTGTAAAATTATATTATCATAAATTTATGAAGAATGGATTCAATTAAAGTGATATGCTATACTTAGTTTGTATTTGAGTTGTTGCGACTATTCATTGAAAAATCATCCATCAAGTGATGCAATTCGATCTTTAGAAATGAGAATTGTATGTTATATGTACGTGCTAGATGTTTATATATATGTGACACCGTAAATAGTCAATTGTTTGATATAATAAAAAGGAAAAACCGAATAAATTGGGATACAGCGTGGGTGATTTACTTGAATTATTTCCCTCTTTTAACTCCTCATTTATTTTAATTAATAATTAGAATGGTTAGGATGAGGTAATAAAAAATTCGTTGCTCTTTTTTTAAAAACAAATATATTTTATTTAACAGCTTTAAAAAAATTCTCCTATGAATCTAAAATATAAATCAAAAAGTTGTACACCTCTTCGATTGAAATGTGACAATTTTCTTTTCCCAAGCCAATTAATTGGTAATGTGATTCTTTTTACCATGGAGTACAAATACTAAGGAAAAATTCAATATTTATTCATTTATAATATGGTATTTTGGAGATTTCTTCGATATCATATTAGGTAAATTATTAAAATACATATTAAATTTTACTGTACTCTGAGATCTGATTTCAGCTGTTCAAGTATTACATGTTACATTGGTTTTATTTTGATTCGTGAAATGAGTATTTTAAATGATTCACTCATTTTATGATCACATAAACTATCGCATAACATGGCAAAATACACAGAGATGATAACATGCCTATATAAATATATGTATAAATGTTAAACGCTGTATGGTCAAATTTAAATTGGCTTTTGACCGATGCCTTCATATATATTTATATAGAAATAAAGTTATCGTAAAACAATATTTTATACAAAGAACATTATCAATAAAAACGATTGTCACTTTTTTAACATGAAATATGTAACAATGAACATTTGAGACTCCGACTTGAATAGATTTTCGATCGACGAAAATTATTAAATTTTATCGATTAATGTACAATATACTGTGCTTATATAAAAATTCATTATGGTACAAATAAATTTGATAGACATACCTTTGGTATACCACAAATAGATTTGCATAATATATCTAAAAGCTAAGAAAATATTTCAAAAGGTTTTTACAATTATCAACTTGATCTTATACAATTATTTGAAACGCGTTCATGGGTTATATTTCACAATTATGGTATTGCACTATTTTTAAGTACTACATAACTTCTTATTTACGTACAATATACTCTGAACATCTCTGGATCTTAACAAATACACTAACTATAAGAAAATATTCATAACTATGAATTAATTCAAACCATCAAAAGTTAATAGTTTTTGCTCAACTTTTCCAGTAATTTAACTGTACGTACTCCTTTTAAATTTTTAATCTCATACGAGATAATCGTTCTTTTTTAAACATAATTCTTACTTTAAAATTAGATTTCCTACTATCCACATAAGAAACCAATACACTCGTCGTCACTAGGAACATAACCGCACACAATTCATACGCAATGTCCTTCAGCAAATTTGAATTGAGCTTCGTAAAAAATCGATAACTTAAGATTCAACATCATTCAAGTGGGAAGCAATCGGTTGCATCGACCTATTGAAATTGTCATATTTCACGCTAACATTGTGGGCTGTTGCGGAGTTCAATAATCCTGCTCGTTGCTTCTGCTTTCTCTGCTCAGTCATCTGGTAAACGAAATTATGTTTAAAAAATGTTACTTATTACAAAAAATGATTTTTTGTTAATTACCTGATCCCTCAGTTCAGTAAGTTGATTAGATAATGCCTTAACCAACTCCTGAGTCATTTCTAACTGGCCTGCAAGACTCCTCAACTCAACTTGCTCTCCTTCACCTTCGTCTGCGGCAAGAGACTTTGCCCTTAATCGTGGGAACCAATCGAGATTTCGATCCTACGTCAAACGAATAGTCAGTGTAAACGTAAATATCAACCAACTGTTAAAACAAATTTATCATATTACTCACCTTAACCATCATGTAGACATAAGATTCTGGCCCAGTGAATTCAGTCGGATCTTTGACTTTGACCAAAACAATGAAGTAAAGATAATGCCACATATTGTGTTCGTGTTTTATGTGTTCCTCAAAAGAGACAGTTTTATTATCGAAAGCCGATCGGTTGAGACCGCATATAAAACAAGTATTTTTCAATATCTGATCCTTTTGTTGCTTTTCGGAACGCAAGTCGGCAAAGGTATCGATGATGACACCAAAAATAAGATTAAGTACAATAATAATGACGATGAAGAAGAACAGCAAATCGTAGATAACTCGTGCAAAGAACAGTGGTTCCTAGTGTAAAAAAATCGTTCAATTAAAATTTTACTATTTAGAAAAATAATATGATCATCGCCTCTGATGACTCTTACAGTGCTAGATGGTGCTCTTAATATGTCGCCAATTCCACCGCCATTTCGAAGACCCTGGTTTAGTGTGGTGATGATGCACATTACAAGAGAATCGCAAGCTCTCTCCTTCAGTTCTCCGCCTACATTGACTTTTTCTCCGCTTGGCAGCCAATTCGTTTTATCGTTTTGTTCTGTAAAGGTAACGAAGATGATTGTAAGAAAGTCTTGGAATTACAATGTACAGTGAACTATTTGTCTGGTTATAAAAGTACCCTTGGCATAAGATGATGCTGTTTCGCTGATTTCGCAAGTTTTATTTTCTTTTGTACAAAATTCATTCACAACTTCGGTTACGGAATCATCGAGCTCCTCGTCGACGCTGATCAAAAAGTCATCCTTGAAGAACATGTACCCACAGATTGAGAATATGTAAACCAAAATTAACGCCAGAACAGCTGTGAGAATGATCGACCTTCCGTTGCGAGTGACTGATCTTATGACATTCAACAAAGTTTCCTCGCGATAGACCACATCGAAGAGCTAAAAATTCAAGGGAATTCATTTTAATGCGAATCTTGATTGACGGATATTTCATAGTAAATATATAAAGATTGATACTTACTAAAACGGAGAAAAAGAATGGATGCATGCATATGCCAAGTACGCAGAATATCAGATAAAGTATGTGGTAGAGTAATTCGAAATTAGTGACTATCTGCTTCACGCTTTTGGTTAAAGTACCCTGATTCCCTATTATACTTATAAGATGCACGACTTTAAAGACGACCTGAAAAAATACATTATCTCACTCTCTGCATGTGCGATGAAAAAAAAAATGAGTTCTTGAACTTACGGTAACGAAACCAAGTAGATACAGAGTCGGCTCGGGTCCCATGGAGTATACTAGTCGCACCAGCGTCGATATAAGGAACCATCGTATCGCGTTTTTGTTGCCAAGACACATGGATATGGCCGCAGTTATCATCATGAACGCCCATAAGAAACCGGATAAGTGGTAATTGATATCTGTTAACAGCGATTTTATGCAGTTTAGCATCGTGAAATGAGATCCATCTTGAGATAAAATTAAATTCATTCGATAATCTTACGTGGCACTTTGGATGCGAAAGGATAAAAGAACGCTACGATAATATTAATAAGTACGGCCAAATTGAACAGTATGTTGCTCCAGGTTGACATGTAACTGCTGACCCAGAAGAGCATCGGCTGGCCGCGGAGCTTCTTCTGCCACTTCATCTCGTTGAACATGTCCTCGGTGCGCTCGAAAAAGTCCGAGACCTTCGAGCCCTGATCGTCGCGCTCTGCGGTATTCAGCACGCGTATCTTCGTGTCGTGAGTTATGAGCTCGCAGATCTCCGGTATCGGGAACACGATCTGCTCGAGCGTTCGGTCGTTTCTGACAATCTGCAAAAGACCACGAATTAGAATCAGTAAGCATTTGAAGTTGAAAAAAGTTGACTGCATCGTAGTAGACTCACTTCAATTTGTGCGGTGTGCGAAGCGTAATACTGCAGTGCCTTGTTGATCTTATGATCGGAGGTGCCCTGTTCCACGGGTTTGAGTATGGCTTGGAGCTCCTTGTTGTGGCGCGCCAGCTGATGGCACAGAATGTAAATGTTGTGCCCGACCTCTTTGGGAGAGACAGCCTCGTCGTCGTCGTCGAAAGCCTCGTCGCCGTCCGTGTCGCCCTCGACCAGAGACTCCTGATAGAAGGCCGTGCAGGCCACGTCGATCAGCTGCTTGGGATTCATGTTGTTCATTATCCTCTCGGCGTTCTCGCTGTCGCCTCGGCTCTCCATGATGGCCAGCAGAAGCTTGCTGGCGTTGTTCTTCAGCTCCAGCACGAGGTCCATGCGCGACTTGCCGAGCGGATTGATGTCGTTGAGGATGAGGGCGGTGATGATGTCGAGCCCGTTGGACTCGTGCGTCGCTATGCAGTTCTGATTGTCGTGGCACGGGCCCTGACAGTACTCGGTGAGAGTCTCGAGGGTCTGATTGATCAGCGCGACGTTGTACTCGTTGATGTAGAGACCGAGCAGGCCGAGACCTCCGGTCGTCGAGCCGCATATGCAGTCGAGGAACATCAGCGTCTCCGAGACCAAGTTGAAGTTCGTCTTGTTGTTCTGGTTACGCAAGAAATTCTGAAAATAAACGAATGATTTAGTTTATAATATTCAATTCATTGAGCAAATTTTGGATACCAACCTGGAGCTCTCTGTTGTGATTTTCGCAGAGCAGTTGCAAAAATCGGAGTATCGGCTGCATGACGAGGACCTTGGCGTTGAGCTGCCTCTCGTCCCTGTTGGCGTTGTCGACGCCGCGCTGACGCTCCAACTTCTCGGCGATCGTGTCCTCGGACAGATAGCCACCGTTGGCGACTCCGTTGAGCAGCAGAGAATCCTCGGACGACGAGTTGCGCACGCTCGAGTAAGCCTGTCCCGTTAACGCGGCCACGTCGTTCAGCTCGTCGCGCAGGTCCTCTGTGATCACAAGATTGCGCTTTGGTTTGCCTGACGTCGTTATAAGCCCCAGCAAATTATAGCGTTGGATATTAAAAAACGATTCGTGACAAGAAACTAAAAGTTCAACAAGCGTAAACGAATAAAAGCCACACATAAAAAAAAATGAAAATAAAAAAAGTAAGAAAAAAAACAGTGGAGGACTGCAAGCTTTGGGTTGAAGCATTTATCGTGCGCTATACCTAAGTTCTTTTTCTTCGACAATTTGTCATTGTCGACAGCATGCTCCTTGCCTTCCTGCGACTTGATTGCTATATTCGACGTGTTGACAGTTACGGTCGCCTTCAGTTCTTGCTGAGAATCTCTCATCTTATCGTAAAATACCTAAGAAAACGAAGTTTCATAAGCATCGTAAAGTCTCATCGATAAAAAAATAATCAATCAATTGCACTACCTTGAAGAACGATTGACTGAGATCACCGCCCATTAGTTTGGTAATCATGCTCTTTTGGATTATCGGATTACCACCCTCGAGCAGCGCGATTCCGAGTTCAACAGCCTCGACAAATATACTCGGCGAGTGGACGCTTTTTATGACGAGCTCGACGACCAAGTCCGAGGCACCTTCGCGGTCCAAGTGGCTCTGCACCTCGTGCAGAGTACGCCCGGCTCGACTCAATAGTTTCGCTACGATTACACGATAAATCATTATTTTTGAGTCCATTCATTGTGCAAAATTAGGTAAAAATGAGAAAGGAAAAAAGTGCGCAATTTACCGCCTGGTCCGTGGGTGACTGAAATTGTGCAGGGAGCTCCTATGTCCACGTTTTCGGGCTTCGCCAAGAAATTTTTTCCGAAGTATCGCGTTAGCAAGTTGTTGCGCAAAGTTTCACCCTGTAAATAAATTAATGTTAAAATATCATCTCACATTCGGTACCGCTTATAGGTTTACACAACATACGATCAAATTTACATAGGTTTCATTGATTTGGTATATCAAACATACTTGAAAAAAAATCAGGAAAAAATGCCTGTTAAATTATATTTTAACATTCGAATCGGCATTTTTACCCCTAATTAAGATTTAAAAAGGAAACAACTTCAAATCAACTAATTCAAACATTCGTTCAAAAGGTATTCAAGTAGAGAGATATGTGTCGTGTATTGAATATTTACAATAGTTTAAAAAAGTTGTACAAAAATTCATGTAGCAGTGAGTTACAGTACTTATTGAAAAGTTACAATGCTCAGTGTACGTATATGTTGTAGAAAAAATTGAATTTTATGATTAAAGCAGAGTTTATGGTTGAGAAATAATTAAAGGGTATCGATACATCTTAACTACTTGAAATCGGAAGGTGGTAGTTTTTGAATAACAGGAGAAGTGGATAAAAAAATGCTTAGCTTAAATTCTGAAAAAAGTGCTTCAGAATTCTTATGGAAAATCAACCATTTTCGATCTGCAGTATTTGAAAGTTAATTCAAGCAAAAAATACTGATGTTTGAATAATCAAAATCAGATTAATTATGCACAAAGCAAAATAACATAACTCAGGGCTCAAATGAACTTCATTTTGGGGATGTAGCCATATCATGCGTGGAGAAAAAAGCAGCTGAAATTTTTATTTCAAAATTATGCTGCTCATAGCTAATGAAAAATAACTACGAGAAAAAAGTACAATGAAATGGACTATGAAAAAAAAGTAGAAAACACGGAGAAAAAAAAATCAAGGAAAAGTTGGAAGACGACTGGTTCAAAGAAACGAACAATTTCTTTATGATTTCGTGCCTCTTTGTTGCCATGCATCCGTTTCTTCCGTTCGCTTGCCGTCGCCTGGTCTTCATCCTTGGATACCTCGCTAGCTTTATCCAGATTATTAGTCGAGGTGGTCGAATCTTGTGCAACGGTTGCGTCAGTCGTCGCGCTGATACTGTCTATCGAGGTACTTTCGGTCGCTTGACTAACGGCCGACTGAGCGTCGACAGACGGCAAATCAACGAACTCGTCCGGAGGCTTTATTATTTCGACCGGGGCTTGGATCGGTGCTTTACTTTCAATCGGTTCCAGTTTTGCTTTCAAATCCTCTCTTAGTTTCTCAAGAACTTTGACTTCTTCTTCTTCTTTTTTTTCCTCTATTACTTTTGGTAAATTTGATTTTTCTAATTCAGTTTTTGGTACTTCTGCTGGCTCTGTTTTTGGATCGATTTTGTCCTCAGGCTGGTAAAGTCGGCAGCATGAAATGAACTTTTATAGCAACACGGTATCGACAGTCTTACCTCGTAATGTAAGAAACTCAAGATTTTTCGAAAAGCATTTAGTTAAAACAAATAATGCGAATGATTTATGATAATTAATTTTTCAAATCTATTGCATTCACGATGCGATGTAAATGATTTGCTTTTATCGATGAACAATTTTAATCATGGTATTTATTTAAAGTAGAAACGTACTAGTTTAAACCCAATCAGTTTAAATGTCATTTAATCGATTGTTAGATAAGAGATTTTTTGTGAGGTATATTGTTTTTTTTTTTAAATAGTGACTGAAACGAATGACAATCACGCTCCACATCATGCAAGAACTTTCAACTAATTTCAATAAAACAAAAATACAAACCTTTTCTCCATACTCTGGATCTATGGCCATCATTTCCCTGAGAGTTCTCAACACTTTGACGCATAATTTTTCTTCTTTTTCTTCCAATAGTTTTTCCGTGTGTTTGATGAGCCTAAAAGTATTCGAATGGTATAAAAAATTTACTATTTTAATAAAATAATGGGTTCACTTTAAATTAGAAACGAACCGTCGAATAAACCCTCCATTTTCGCATCTCGTGCGAGCTTCAGTTTTTGGAGTAAATAATAACTCTGGCCGGTAGAGTACATCGACGAGCAGGGACAGTTCCGATTGGACCAGTGGCTTCAGTTGCTCCTCCAACAGGGACACAATGTCTTGCAATCCTTCGATGATGGTGCGATCTAATCGCATCAACTGTAAAACCGAACGATTTAGGTCGAAAATATTCTCGTGATATTCAATTTTTCAAACTTTACGTACTTGACTAGGACTTCGCTCCACTCTAGGCGTTTTTGCCACTTGTAACCATTTGTTCGTCTGCCTGGTAAGGAACGTGGCTTTGACGAACATAGAAGTAACTTGACTTTCGAGATCCATCGGTATTGCGATTGATCGTCCTTTGGCTAATGAAAAGTAACATAGTTAAAAATAGCAGTTCTTAAAAAAAATATCTGAAAATTCATATGAATAAGAAAGTCATACTAACCAACGTCCGAGAGGGTCCGTATGCAATTTTCCACATTGAGTCGCTGACCCGGACTGAGCCAAGTACATTGCGAGACTTTGAAAGCGGCATGTAGCAGCTGCACGAAGATGGGCTGTCGTGTCTGGCAAGGAAAATATTTCTAGAATTTTTCGTTTACACGCACCCACAAGCATGATCGAAAATTCAGATTAATAAAGCCATATTAATAAGACATTGCTTTTTTCATCATATTCATATTTAAATTTATAAATAATAATTCTCTTTTTAAATTTTGAATTTCTTACCAAATTAATTATAATTTTTATTGATATAAATTCATCGTGTTAAAAATGTTTAATTATCAACCGCAGCCATGAAACACACCCAAAAAAATTTAAGCAACACAAGAAAACGATATCGTGTCTTCTTTTATTTAATAAAAAAAGCAATGCCGCGTCAATCGTGTAGCCGATCGAAAAAAAAATTATTTAGACAAAACATCAAGCACAAAACACAAGCCATACACAGTAGAGGAAACAATTGCTGTAACTAGATAGCGTATAAAATAACAATTGATTATTTTTATAAATAATATTTGATATCCTGATGGCTGAACATGTTTACTTACATAATCAACGTAATAGGTCTCACTACGCTCGAAATCCTTCTCATTCCAATAGAGACTGGCCTCGTGCAGGTGTTTCTACACGTGTGCGTTTGTTTGTTTATGTTCGTTTCACAAAAATAATTTTGTAATAATATGCGTCATTCGTATGTGCGTGATTTTACAAATGAAAAAAAAAACAAGACCCACCACCCATGCAGTACGAGTATTTGTGTGTCAAGTTTGTATGTATGTGTCATGGTGCATGTGAATAACGAATTGAAACAAGATACACCATAGGAGTTGAATGATAACACCAGTGAGCAAAGAAGTAGAGTTGCAGGCACAGGCAAACGAGGTAGAGATGCAGAAAAATTCGACAAAATAAATCAAATTATTAAAAAGTGAAAACCGTGAGAGATAGATACGTCAAACTTATGAATTTAGTTTTACCAAGAATTATTGTAAAAGACATGCAGTAACGAAAATATCATAATTATTACTACACCAAAAGCTACGAAAGATTAAATTGTAACGAGTATGAAACTACTGAAATATTTCAAATTCTAACACCGAAGAATTGATGTGCTCTACCTATATTGAAAAGTATCTACGGATCGACGTTTATAATATATCGACGTTATTACTTTTCTTAGTGCAAATTTTTACATTTCAAAAAAAAAATTCAATGTATATACTATTTACTGACACAAAAATGTAACAAATGTCCTCTAATCTAGAGTTTAATTCACTCTCTGCTGGTATGCATGAGAAAAAAATTACCTCCAGTATGATGTACTTCAATAATGAGAGGCGAAAAGACAAGATGCAAATCACATGTTATTATCAATCGTATTTAAGTTAATCGGTTAATTTTCAAATTCAAGCCGATGCTTATTCAACATTTAAAAGTATTCATCAGTAACATTATCAAGCCAAACACAACGAGGGTTCAGTTAAAAAATGTCCGGGCTCATTGATTAGTCTTAGAGATATAGTATAAAGATTATAAAAACAGTACAGAGTGTACGAGAGCAATCGATAGATGAGTAGAAGAATAATCAGAATACGAAAAAAATTGTTTATTGCAAAACTATTTGTAGCTCTTTCACGTTTAGACAAAACAAATCTGCGTTAAGCTCTCTGATAAATGTGACACGTTCGGTCTGTAACTCACTTGTACAGCGGTGCTCTGATCGGAGAAGGGACTGCTGAAGAACGTATTGATGATGCTCATGACGCTGTTGGTGACGTAATTCTCGAGGATCTTGTCGGCGTGATTTCGATCGTGCGTGGCCGTGGCTACGACGCCCATGTCGACGATGAACGATTTCTCGAAAAGTGACCACATGTGATTCGACGTGTAAATCTCCTTCATCTCTACCTCGGTGTCGATGTAGCAGTGGTTCAAGAAATTTATGTAAGCTTCTTTCACCTATTCGAACAATATAATAATTTCTTCTTTAAAAATCTGATCTTCTATTGCCTTGTTTTTGTATCTTACCTCAGGAATGCAGTCCTGATGAGATACCATCGCGACGATGTCATCCAATGGCAAGAGACTGTGGCACTTAATCTCCGTATTGACATTTTTACCCATAGTACAGCAAGCCAATAGCTTGACCAACTCCACGTGGTATTTCAGGGGACTTTTCTCGTCCATCCGGTGTCTTTCCGATCTCATCATTTCGACGAACTGATTGAACGAGCCACGATCGTTGTAGAACACGAGAACGTCCTCACCGGCTTGCACCAGCTCCTGCATGACCAGCTCTTGGCACTTGCGTATAAACTGATTCTCCGCCTTGACGATGGTCTGCAGGAATTTCAGATACTGGACGTGCCTACCGTGCGTCTCGATGCAATGCACGAAGTGCTGTATGACTTTGGGATTGACCTCGTTGCACAGGGTGGAATTGTCCTGAAATATGCTGCAGACCGTCTGAGCCTCCCTGAGGCCGGGCGTCAGGAAGAGATCCAGCTGCTTGTGCAGCAGCACCTGATTCGGCTGATTGCCCAGGCAGAAGTTCTGCAGGAAGTCGTGGGCCAGCCGCATGAGCTCGATCATGCGCACGTCCTCCTTCGTGTCGAAAGGCACCTGCAGCAGGTCCAGCACGATCGTGTGCACGCCGACGTTGCGCAGCAGACGCTGCTCGTGCTTGCGCGGTATCACCTGGCCGTTGTGCAGCGTCTGTATGCACAGCTTGTTCATGCGTATGAGTATCTGCTGGATCTTGCGATACTCCTCGGCTTGGTCGGCGTGCAGGGGCGGCCCGACGTCGAGATCGATGGCCGAGCCCTTCTTGTCCATCGTCGACAGATGTGGCTTGGTTTTTCTCGATTCGCTCGTGCCCTCGTCTTCGTCGTCTTTGCTGTTGTTGTTGTTGTTGTTGTTGCTATTGCCGGATTTTTTCTTTTGCTTGTTGCTGTGATCTTCCGTGGCTTTGGACTTGTATACCCAGAGCTCGGATTTTTCCACGGACTGACGCAGCACGTCCAGGTCGGCTTTGATTTGCTTGTAAGACTCGACGTCGTTGTCCGATACCAAAAGTTGAACCTGTATAGAACGAGGAAAGCAGACGGCGTTGAATAAATAACGAAAGTATGCGTGAAATATTTAAACGCGCAAGACGAGTTCAACGCACTTGTTTGAAGGCTTGTAAAACTTCCTGCCTTTGACTGAAATGTCTGAACAGAAGATGAAGGGCTCCGGAGACCAGTGGAGGATAGTCGTGCATAGCCAAGTGCAGCAATACCCGCAAAAACGTTCTACCACCTGCGCCGTCCAGATCCAGACCCTCCCACTCTTCGCTGCTGCGGAATCGATGAAAAATTCAAGATCAAACGAAATTCCCAGCACGATTTGCGGTTGCTTCTGCTCGTCGCAACTTCACTTACCTGCTACCGAAAATTCCCTCGGCTTGCGCACCGATACTGTCGAGATCGATGTTCTGGCGTCCAAGAAGATCGCCCGATGGATTATTTTGATCGAATTCCTTTTTGAAGATGCAGAGCAGACAGGAGATTCGATAGTCCAGTCTCACATCCAAAATGAATTGCAGAATCTCGATTATTTTTAATTTCGTGTCCATGACCAAGGGGTACTCTTTCTTGGCCTGGGCTTGAGCTTTCGGACACGATGAGGAAGTGCCGGATATCACTTGGCCGGCGGGCCCGAGAGTGAGATTAGTCATTACGGCGCCCATGTCGCCTATGCATCGTAGTACACCACCCTCGGCTGTGAAAATCAAGGGCAATTAGTCGAAGTACATTTTGGGTCTCCAACACTAATTTACAACTGCAAAATTCATTAGTGTATTCTTCTACCGCTATATTAGGTAAAAATATCACACACTTGCATTACGTAATCAGCAAGTTAGGATATGTATTCACGAAATCGTGTTCGTGTCAACGTGATAACAGATTCGAAGTCACATAAACGAGAGTATGGCATTTGCTCGTGAAAACAATGAACAAAACAGTATAATTACATACAAAGCTGGAACTATATACACATATTTACAGGAAACCAAAAATAAATAATCAAACTTGCTCGATCTGCACTCAGGCGGTACGCACAAATGAATAACAATGCACACACAAATATATCAACCGTCAGTTTATCTACGAGATCATTACCTGTATCCTCTTTATCCTGCGTTTCGGCTGCTTTAAAGTTGCGTGGGTAATTTAAAAAAAAATTGATAAAAACAATAAGATCGTAAACGACATGTATAAAAGAATGAGAATTAATTTACAATGTTTTTTGTCCTTATCACAGTATTATTTATAACGTACACAATTATCATGATTCTGAAGGGAGAAACGTGTATGTACACATATTTATGACTGCTTCTCTCTTTGATACGATTAGTAAAGTTCTCGTATACTTACAATCGATATCTCCGGTGGGCACTATTCCATCCGACGACTCGTGATCGGACGCACAATCCAGAATGTTGAGCAATGTTTTCGTGAGAGTCAATAGTCCGGTAAAGCTGTAGAATCCAAAGTATATCAAGTCTCTGGCCAACTTTACTACCTGTTGAATTGAGTCAATTTTTATAGATGTAAATATTCTACATGAGATTTATGCGAAGCGCATATTGCGCTGTTTTTCTTTACCTCGAACGTCAATTTGTTTTGCTCTGGATCAGAAAACGACCAAGCTTTTTCTACCACGTTGGTAAGATAATCCTCGACGAATTCAATCGTAGTGCTGAATCTTGCTCTCACGGATTCCTTGTTTGGATCCAAATGTTTGTTTTTGTCATAACTGAAAAAATTGATAGTAAGTATTGTACATATCAATAGGATTAAATGCGAGACCAAAAATTAAATCCGAAATAAGGACTACTCACTCTTGTATGTTCATTTTGGAGGGTATCTCAGACCAAAGCCTGGCGTACTTGACCGGTGTCACTTGTTCTTGCGGGTCTCGGTCCACGTGCAAATGAAGCATAAGACGACAGAACGACGCCCTCAAATCATAAGGTACCGTTTCGTCTTCCATACATCTGTAAAATCATACCCAAATAAAGCTTAAAATTTTACTCGCATTAAGCGGACAAAAATTAAGCGTAAAGAACTTACTTGAGAATGAGATCGATATCGAGCCGCGGCGACAAATTATTCAGAGCCAAGTATTGCCTGTTCAAACACATATTGCTGAACAGGTTCAACTGGTGCCTGTAGTAATCGATGATCGACGCGGCCTCGAGGCTTCCCGCCTTGGCGTCTCTCGACAGTTCGCTCAGCGACATCGGGCGTTTGCCGTTGGTCCACGAAAGGAATACCTCGTCCTCCAGGGCCAGCTCGTATTCCTGCTCGTCGTCCTCTTGGCTGTTGTAGCCGGGCTCGAATTCCACTTGCATCTTCATCGTACTGAAACACGCGCACGGTTAAAGAGACATCTCAAACTCACAAATCGGCAAAAATCGCGCTATATTCTTCAACTTACTTCGTATCAATGAGAATGTCTTTGTTCTTTTCGCTAAGGACACTTTTGCAAATCAATTCCTGAGTGATGGCGATGGCCTTCTTGTTCGATATGCAGAGATCCGAGAGGTAGTCCAGGAATCTCGACTCCCAGTTGCTCATGTTCTTGCGCACCAGGCCGACGAACGTCTCGATCTCCGCCGCGGTGATGTGCTTCTCCAGCAGCTTGCGATTGTTGTGCAGCAGCGCCGTGATCGTGTCCTCGGCCAGTATGTCGTAGCCGATCTGCTTCTGCATGAACGCGAAGTGCTTGGCGATGTACTCCTGATTCTTCCGGTAGTCCTGCTGCGACAGCCTGAGTATGCGATAGCACAGCCGAAACATGTACTTGTACGAGGCGTGGCGGGGATCGTTGAGCTCCTCGATCCTCAGGAACGGCCCCTCGCCCGCAGCCGACTCCAGGAACGGCGCCTGCAGTATCTTGAACAGCTGGCCGAGTATGTACTGCTCGCGCAGCAGCTTCTGCCGATCCCTCACCGGGCTCGTGACCTTCAACTCGAGCGCCTCGGACTTGTTCTGCTCGTTCTCGAGGCCCGCGATGAAGTACACGATGTCCTGCAGCAGACTCGTCACGGAGCGCCTCTCGTTGTGCGATATCGTGCCCGACTCGAGCTTCCGACTGATGGACTCGAGCACCTTGCAGGCGTCGTTGGCGAAGTCGAGGTCGCGCACCTCCACGGGCGTGACCGAGCGCAGCGCGAACGCCTCCTTGTCCTCCTTGTTGGGCACGCTCGACACCTTGGACATGACGGGCTTCTCGTCGTCCTTGTCGATGGGCACGTTGGTCGAGTGCACCCAGGTCGAGGTGCAGATGTGATGCAGCCGCACGAACGACGACTGCGGCACGAGACTGTCGGCTCGCGTCATCGTCGTCGGGTCGAGCTCGAACAGCGAGCTGATCTCGTCCGTGTGATAGACCGAGACCAGGCGGAAGTTCTTGGCCTTGCCGCCTTCCGCGGCCGGCTCGTCCTGGTCGATCTCCGCGGCGAGATACTGGCCGGTGGCCAGATGCTTGAAGCGGAACAGCGAGTTCCAGTGGCCGGCGCCGCCGCGGCACGGGTCGTGCTGCACCACCTCCACCTCCCACAGGGCCTTGCTGCTCGTCGCCGCCGTCGCGCTGGTGCGGCCCGTGGTGCGCAGAAACACGTACTGCTTCTTCTTGTACTCGTCCATGGTGAGGAACTTCTCCTGCTCGGCGTGAAACAGCCTGACGACGTCGCCGCCCTTGAGTATCTCCTCCTGGTTCTCGCGGTGCTCCATGAACAGGGTGACCTTCCAGGAGGTCGCGCCCGACGCGACGTTGACCTCCTTGCAGCCGGGATTGTCGCTGAGCTCATAATTGGCCGCTACGTGGAGGCCCTGGCGGCCAGCGTTAACGGGTTCGAGTATGACCTTGTCGCCCACTACGACATTGTCACCGTCGCTGCGCAGCTTATAGAACGGCATGACGTAGAGCCAGCTGCCCTCGTTGCCGTTGGCGTCCAGGTACACGCGCATGGCGTTCTTCTCGAGCAGCGCGGGCAGACGCTTGTTCACCGTCAGGTATTTGTTGGATTTGAGGTGAAGTAACTGCGTTGCGATAAAGAATAAAATAAATTAATTAACGTTATACGGCAAGATCGTAGCAGGCATTATTTTGCATACTTGAGTTACTTTGTTTTAGTACTCGTTTAATACTTTTCAACGCGAAAATTTTCAATTTTACCTGGACGACGTTTCCGTACTTGACGATCGAACCCAGCAGCTTTTTGTTCTCGGCTTCGTTTTGTTTCTTCTCGATCTCCGCCGCATGCTGAAAAGCGTCAATTAAGAAAATGAATTAACGATATAACAAATTCTCGGATAAACTTATAAACGTCGACCCCTTAATCATACTCACGTGTAATCTCTTGAGTAATACTGCATCGGTGGTCGATGTGGCGCTCTGCTTCGCGGCCTTCCAGAATTGATTCTGGGCCGAGTATCTGTTCATCGGGCATATTTTGAACAGGCAATCTGCAACATTTCATCGACTCGTAATAATCGCACATTGCAATAGCGGCATATTCCCGCGATCGATCGAGAAAATTCGATTTCAATTTTTCTCCGGGGGCGCGCTCATCATTTAATCGATAAAAATAGTTCTTATCCCAAATCCCCGTTTGTTTACATTGCGAGCTGTAGTGGAGCATATGTAAACTCGAGCCAGTAAAGCATACATCTGTCAGTTACAAATTGGCAAAAATATTATCTTCCGGGGCCGCCTATGTACGCGCGTGCGCGCCTATACAGCCACACACCGCGCACACAGACACGTGTGCCGTAGGCGATATACGTAAGGGATTACGAGGTACTCAAATCGACATTATAAGGTCAAGCCCATTGAATCGTGGCGTTGACAATCGCAATAAAAACAAAAGTCGCCGACGTGGCTATCATCGAATATATATCATGATCAAATCGTGTGACAGCAGATGTTGCCTTCTCTCGTGTGTTATGATGCACGTAAACGATAAGGACTTACCTCGAAATTTTTGTGGGGGACAGCTCAGATCGCCGGCTTCGGGGCACACGACGCATCTATCGTCGACCAGTCTGAAATAGAGGAAATACAATATTACTATATGAATTACAGGGAATAAGAAAAGTCTATAGAATTGTTAAAACGTTTTGCAAATTACGGGCCTCGTAAAGCAGCGGTTACAATCATTCAGACGAAAAGTCCGAGCTTGACAGGTCTATTAGCCCGCAAACGTTTCTTTTCTCTCGCGCGCACATTGTCGGACGTCATAAATTCATCGTGGTCTTTTTGGCACGAGCCAGGCTACGCGTCGTTGTCGTGTGCACATATAGGGGACAACGGCCTGTACAGCATGCGAAAGAGCGACGACGTTATTGCGCGCCCACCAGAGCCTACAAGATATACGTATACGCGCGCGCGCGAGCCGAAGATATTAACGCCGGAAAAGCTGGCAAGCATCCGAATTGCATGTCGTTTTGTCGAGGCGCCACAGCTACTACACCGCTGCATCTATATAGCCGCGCTGCAAATTCCCCAGCGGTGCTTGCAATTTTTCTTCTCTCGTGATCGTAGTGTACGAGACGTACTATATATGCCGTTGACATTTGCGCTTCGTATTTTTATGCTCTCTCGAGAAGCGTAACAAAAAAATGTTTTTCGATGAGATGTTCCAATATACATCTTTATACGCTCGAGAGACAAAACTCGTGTGGAACGTTTACTTCTTTTTTTTGTGAAGATAAAAAAAGTTCACGCGATGAAGTAAATGAATGTAAAATACGCCGAGTCACGGCTCATCAGTGTCGAGAGCTTGCGAGAGTGTAATTCATGGCGTATAAATAAATTAATCCTTGTTTTCTAGGTCAGGCAGCTGTAATATATAGGTTTTTTTTTACACAGCATCAAATAGACCCTTTCGCTTAGCGAGGTCATTGTAGTATTTACAGCTACTACGAAGATGTGTAAAAGGAAGATATATACCAAGCCGGAAAAAAACGAAGTTAAGAGGATAAAAAGCTCCGTCTTAATTTTTAATCGACTCGGAAAAGCAGATACGCAAAACGCATAAATATGTACGAGTTTTATAAACGCGTAGTTTGTAGCAAGTTCCGACATCATAAAAGTTTCACGTTTTGACGGTCAACAACCTCCGGAAGCTCGATCGTGCGCCAACATAGACACTCGTCTTCGACACGTACATACGGAATTGCGCACATAAACCTTACCTACTACACTACGCTTCCCATTTATACTGTATATACCTTGTATCGTATATGTACGTGTACTAGACACCTGCAGAGCGTACGCGGATCGATGTAGGGGTATACATACGTGGGTGTATATCGCATCACACTGACACACAATACACATAGCGAGCTTTACAGTGATGGCGAGTAAGATACTTAGCTCTGCAAGCTCGAAGCTGCAGCGTTTTATTTATTTACGTTTTTGTTGTTGTTGTTTTTGTTTTTTTCTCTCGACTATGATAAATCGACGATACGTAGTTATTTTTGAAAATGTACGCGGTGATACGCCTGATGGAACTTTTTGTCAACGTCGAAGCGTGACTTGCCCGAGCTGATGTCGCTTGCGGGGATGTATTAGAGGGGAGATTCCAGCTACACGAGACGAACTCGTCGCTCTGACGCATCATTACTAGAGCGACGATAGCAAATTTGATTATTCAACCGAAAGTCTCAGATAACTCGCTCAATTATTTCTAACTTGCTGATTTCGAGCATTTATTATTATTATTGTTGTTGTCATTATCATTATTTATCTGACTGTTCTACCACTTTTCACGATAAAAACGTGCAGGGAGTTACCGAGAGTTGTAAATAATCCACCGAGTAAGTGCAAAAGTCCTTGCTTGCACAAAAGAAAGAAAGATGCGAAAAAAATGGAGGTAGAAAGAAAAACTTTCGAAAGCTCCCTTTGAACGACGCGCGCGAAACAGTGTCAAGTATTTCAACTAAGCTTTTAATGAACGTCGATCAATCAACGAAATGTCAACCGAAAGATCTATCCGAGCCAACGTTTACGTTTGTTTTTGTGTACGATTTTATTTATTTATCTTTCATCTCCTCTTTCGTTATTTAGATTGGAGCGCAGTTATATCGTGAGAATTTTTTTTCTTTTTTTCGTAGAAAGTCCACTCGATATTGTTTTGGGTTTTTCATTTTTCGCGAGTAAATAACAAAAATTATTAAAAAATTTCACGCGTGTGACTAATGATTCTGACGAATCTTTATTGTGAATCTCTACCCTTCCTCCAAAGTCAATAAACTTGCGTACGTTATATATCGATTTCAATTCGGTGCCTCTGTCTTTTGCACGCGCACAACAGCAGTCGCTGATACGGTTCTGATTCGCGCACATTATTAAGCTCGCGGCGCGCGCGCGTCGAGCGATGACATCCCTATTTCCTCTCGAGAGACGCCCAGCTGCCGGTTTGCGGATACAAATCTTTGCATCCACTCTGTTGCCTCTACGGCGTAGCAGTAGTAGTAGTACCGGGCTTATAATAAAGCCTCGAGCGGAAATAGAGCGGAAGAAATTTACTGAGCTATTTTATGAATCGAGCTATTGGAGAAGTGTTTCGCTCGTTCGAGCCTTCTCGCAATTATTTATCTTGCATCGCAGGATGGATAATTTTCGATTAACGCGCCTCGAGCTTTCCACGCCTTGGTGAAAATAATCGAATGTTATGCGGTATTGCGCAAGTATTGACGGGCCGGTTGTCAAATTCAATCGGTTTTAATAATAATTATAGCGTAAAAGTGAGCGCATGAGGAAAAAAAGTCACGCGCGACGATCGTAATAATGTCCATTTACTTGGAATACGTAATTAACTTGTACATACAATACGACAGAAGTTCGGAGCGAAGAGCTCGTGGCGTAAAATGAAATATATTCAAGTGATAAGAGATGGAAGCAGTCTGGTTTATTAACCTCGAGTCTGACAATTTGAGCAGCGGACATCCGATCGAGTTAAAAAAAAAAAAACAAAGGAAAAAATGAATTAATTATGCATTATCAATCAACCTTCGTGAATCGACGCGATGCTTCAACACATATATTAGAGCTTTAACGACACGCAACAAAAAAAAACTAGTCAAATTGCGTATATATTTAGTTGCTATAGTTATAAATATATCTCTCGACAAGTAGGTAAGAAATCGCGGTTAAAACAACACAGTCTTGTCTCGAGTTTTTTCTCTTTCTCGCCCTTTTTTTCGCTTTGCTTCACTACGCAGCACACACGTGCTTTGATGTGAAGTTTATGGTGTGCGACCGGAGGCTAGCTGAGCGCGAAGAAAACTTGGCCACCACCTTGAAACAAGAGTTATAATAAAGCTGAACGCGTCGTTGAGAGAGCTCTTTCACGCACGATCGAACGCCCGTTCGAATTCTAACGATTCGTTACGACGAGCACATTACAAATGAGTGTAGATTAATTATTGGTACAAATGACACTAGACCTTTTTGGTCAAAGTTTAAGAGAAGCTTGATCTGAAGAGCTCGAAACTAAGGCTCGAACTGTATTATTTAATGCGCTTTTATAAATGTCATTTAAATCGTACTCTGCGGCATTACTTCTTTATTATGACATCCGATAAGAAGCAAGTGTCAACACGGATAAATACGCATACACACTCGAGCGTACTGTTTAATGTAAACCTCCGCTTTATTGCCATAAAACTTAACTTTGAAATCTGCTAATCTTAGCTGCTTCTTTGAGAAAACCGTTGCTGCGTCGCTTGCGATCCGAGCGCGTCCTCAATTTTTTTCTTTTCATTTTCTTTTTCATTAAAATAAATAGTAACATTTTTAACACGCGTGCCACTTGAAACGGAGGCTTTTTATTTATATATACGATTCGTCGTAAGTTCGTCAAAAATATAACGTGTACAAGAGTTTAATTTAATAATTCAGAGGGATGAGCATGAAATTTATGCGTAAAATATATTCTTTCATTTATGTTTGACCTGAACGCGGTATAAGTGTACAACACACGTGTATATTATGTCAAAGAGTTTCCATCATATAGACGTTATGTACAACGGAGCCACTTCAGTTTTTCCGATGACTTTTCTTCCACATGGCTTATGTCAACTGCAAGGTCAATAAATAAAGCGCGCAGTGCCTCACACACGCGACATATTGTATACAAGTATGTTTACGAGCGATAAACAAACAGAGAAGAAAATCCTTTCTCGCTATTAGAAACCACACTTCTGTGCTTTACATATTGCAATATGTATATTCTTATGAGAGCCACTTGTATGTGTGTGTCTCTGTGTCTATCTATGTGTGTACGTGAGCACTGCGCGACATAAAGCGGCCTATTTTTGTATAAAAGGTCACGCGACGTAGATAGCGCCGCGCGTTTTTATATCATCGCCATTACAATATAAAGCGAGGAAGGATGAATCCAGAAAAAGCGACGACGTGAATAATGTCAAGATACGTGTAAGAATAATTGTGGCACAGTTTCTCAATTACTCTCTCAAAATTTTGTATCGAAGAGAAAATTATAATGCAGCAGTATAGGCTACACGTGTGTGTTGGCAAATGATGAGAGAGTGAGACACTCTCGATTGAAGTCTTCGGAGATGTTATCGTGATATAATTGCTCTCTTCTTGTTTACCCGTCGTAAAACGTGTGCGCGATTTCACTCCTATAATCGTTTTCAATGCTTCTCAAGTAGCTCTTGAAAAAAAAAAAAAATTCTTGGGTAGATAATGCTCGCGCGCGCGCCTACATCGAGATCGAGCAAATTAGATTATAATCCGGCGTCTGAATCAACATTTCTCGAGTCTCGAGTGTTTGCCGCTCTTTTCTTCTGCTTCTTCTTCTGCTTGTTCGGCGCGATAACGGCTCTTTTTCATATTGTATATTTTAATTACTCGATGATTACTCTATTTTCGAGTACGCAATTACTTGCATGTTACATATTATTCAGAAAAAAGCTCGGTATAATTAGAGCGAAAAAAAGCACATATCGTATGAATTTTGCATGCAGGGCAAAAAAGGCAGGCACTCATTGTTTGGAAGATTCGAAGTAGCTAAGTGAAAAAGAAAAAATGAAAGAAAAAGAACAGAGTCAGAGCCTCTTACCCCAAAGTCGACAGAAATCCCGAGGCATTGCCCTCGGCGTACAGGCTGACAATGTCGCCGAGGTGAAGGAAACTCGCCGATCCTGGTATCTCGCTCATTTTGAAACTTTAATCGAGCCGTCAGCTTTTCTTTCCTGCTCCTCTTTCCTTGTACTTTCTTTTCTCTATTTTGCTGTTTACTCTATCTCTCTCTCCTTGCCCTCACGCGATTCCTTGCGCTGCTTTTGTTACTTGGGTATTTTGTGTTCCTTCTTCATGATCACTGCCACGCGAGGCCCAAGAAGCCGCGCATTAATCGATGCGACCCGCGCGACGACCAGCGTGATGATGTGCACACACTCACACACGATGATCGACCTGCAAAATTTTAAATATTTTTGTTAAATTTGGTTTACGTTTAAATTGCATTATATTTTAACGTAGAATAGACCGAGTAATAGCTTTATCAGCTATATACGAGCGCTGCATTCATTCATGCGCGTCGTTCGCACGCATCCAGCCGTAATACACATCTATCTATATGCCATACTCCAATCGCTTTATAGAATTAAATCCACTCGCATGTAAACTTTATAAACAACAAAATAACTCTTGCTTGCGTCAATGCAGCACGCGCAATGTTTCTTTCTCTCGCGCTATCGTTGCGATGATACTTGCACGTGATTTTTTTTTCTCTCTTTTGTGCATTCGTATATCGCTCATTATTAATTTATAAAACCGAGATGTGTAGCTTATTTAGTAATGAGCTTTAGAGTTATGTCTTTGACAGTTGAGAAATTCGTGCAAGCGCATCTAGGTATACAAGTACGAGAATTCTGTATAATATGAAGAAATAAAAATTAGATCTGCTCACAGTGGTATCAGATTTTCCCTGTGCCATTGTCTTATTTCCCGAGCGTCGTATTCGAGTTCTGGATATACAGATATACGCGCGTACCCTCGTAACTAATATCGCATTTCGGACGGAGAGTTACAGAAAACGTGGGCACTTAAATGCTGACTGAGAAACGTCGACACAATCGTGTTACAGCAAAAAGTAGTTCGGCGGCCGAGTGACCCAGGGTGTCGCTTTCCATGTTTTTAACTTGAAGTAAGTGTAGTAAGTACGTTGGGAGTAGCGACGGACTTATGCTTCATTTTGGAATTTTACGAATAAATTGAGTCTTGTGAAAGAATCGATGGACAAATCAGAGACAAAATTAGAGAATTTTTTCTTGCATCACTCTAAAAACTTTCACTAAAAACGTTCGATTTTTAATAAGCAACCTTTAGAAAATCCAACATCTATTCACTAAAACGTCAAATCGAATGGAAATAAATGCTTGATTGACCTAATTTCAAACGAATGTGCTGTGTGTGTATACGTGTGTGTATGTATTAAGTATACATCCTTTGCTTCATTCGAGCGAGATGTAATGCTCTCTCGGAGCCGCGCGCGAGCTCGAGAGCGTCTATATAGTATATAGGCACGCTACACGCGAGCTATATCGTGAAATTGTGCACGTGCTTTTGGCGCGAATTGACATGCACATGCACACGTACTATATAACACGAGCTCCTGCTCGAGAGCATGTAATCGAATGAATAAGAGCGTAACAGCGCGACGTGTGCACACATACGTACGTACGAATCGCTCGAGATTTTTTGAGCTGCGAAGAGAGAGAGAGAAAAAGAGAGCAAGTAGCTAAAGGGAAGCGCAAAAAAGCTGACAGGTACATCAATACTCGCGCTTAATAATCATCTCTTCGTTCGCGAGTTACTCGGAGTTGAATTTTTTTCTTCTCCTTCTTGTTTCATCGACACTCAGCCACCCGAGAGCAATCTAAATACACGCGCGCATCGATGTAGTTTTATGTAGCGCGTACGTTTTGCACGTGCCGCGGGCGTTAAATTTTTAATTAAAACGTGCGTGCGTGTGTGAGCGCGCGTAGACGCGACCAAAAAGAAATCATACGTATAATAAGACTTATAAACGTGCGAAGTATTTCGTAATCGAGACTCGTGCGCGTACCAATTCGATTTCGTTTCGATACGTATGTGCGGACGCACTCCCGCGATCGTCAATATTATGGTCGCGAGCACGATTTTCAATTATAATCTATGTGCGTACGAGCGATATTTGTACAGCTGGTTTCGCTGGGTTTCCGCGAAAAACTCGCGCGCAAAATTTTTTCACAAAAAGTTTCAGCTCGAGGCAGAGAAAAAGAAACGCGGAGATCGAATGATCAGAAACCGGAGAAAATGTTCGAATGAAATTGCGCGGGTTCTATATAATAATCGTAAAAGTGAATCCATTCAAGACGTAGCGCGAAGATTTATTTTCGGGCGTTTAGCGTTTACGAGCCCGCGCGGGTAGTAGTATAGTAAAGTGTTGCACCCGCGAGGCGTTTCTATATCGAGCCAACTTGCTGCACGAAATATGTGCAGCATTTCGTCGTCGTGTTTTTTTGCCGCGAGTACTTCATCAATGTGTATGTTCGAGAGGGCAATAAAAGCGGCTGATCGATTGTACATATGTATACCCCGATCGCGAGACGTGTTGCGCTCCGATGGAGATGTTTACGAGCGCGAGTCGAGATTATTTATAATACACATTTACATGTGCGAGCGTAAAATCGTCGTTATGCAAAAGCAATCGGATTTTTCGTCGAGAAAGGGAGAACGAAGAATGAACGAGGCGAAAGGTCAATAATTAGAAAACGGAAATGGAGCGATCAAGGGGCGTCGATATATTGTAGATGATATATATATATCGATTTTCTCGCGGTGGCTTTCGCTACAGAAATCTGAAAGCAACCGGACGAATATTAAAGCTTGAGATTTATTGGATCGCGCAGCCAATCGCGGGTTATCTACGAGAAAAACTGTGAGAGGCTCATTTGTCATTTATAAGCCCATCTCTCCCAGATGTATTGTCTACGTGTATTGGCTGCGACACGTGTGCAAAATCCGGGGACAAGTGGCATGAGATTATGAGTCTGAAATCGAATCTACCTCATATATAATGTATATATCGGCTTGGGTCATCGACTGTAGAGCATTGACGAAAAAAAAAATCGATCGTTGGAATTCACGACTCGACCCATTCTTCTCTTATGTGTTACACGGGTTTACACATCGGTGCAATGTACTGTATGTATTCGCAGCATTATTTGTAGCAAAAATGATTATACTGCCATTTACACGATGTCGACTCAACCTTGTGCAGATAAAAGTCGCGTCACGACGACTGTACACATTTTATTTTCTCACGATATACGGGCGGAGAGGCGAAATGCGTGCCGTACTCCAGTAGGTAAAAAAAAAACTTCTAGAAAAACTTGGAGCTTCGCGCCGCATAAATTATAACGAGCATCGAGAGAGTAATATCATAAATATGTATGTATAAATTAAAGAAAAGCGAAATTCTCGACGAATTCCTGGGTGACTCGATTATCTATTATCGATCGTGAGACACTTTTCAACTCGTCGTTGTCATCTACTGGGTATATCGACTCCCCAATGATGATCGTGATACGGCAAACGAGGGGCTATACGATGGAGCTTATCTATATCTGTGTATTGCAAGCTTGTGTCTGAACTCTTCGTTTATGTGTGGTTGGGTGTGTGCTTTTGGCCAAAATGTGTCAGAAATGTTCGGAATGCCGCGTGTAATCAAAAAAATCGATTCGACATCGATCGCGAGCTTCGACTACTGGATTTTCCTACACGCGCTTTTGCTCTCCCTACCCTTTTCAGCTCTGCGACTGCTTTTGCTTAAAGCAATTAAAAGTAAAAAAAAAAAAAATTCTTCAACTCGAATTCGAGCAATTAAACGCTCGATGACTCATTAGCAAATATTAATGTGCATAATATACATACACGCCACCGCGACTTTTATACTATATATTAATTTGGGTCACAGATTAAAAGCGCAAGTGCTCCTTACTTCGCGTCGTCGTCGGAAAAGTTCGTCGCTCGCGAGACTCTCGAGAGTGAGGAAAAAAAACTGCGCTCGCTAGAAAACATGAATGAAAACGGTTTGAGAAAAAAAGAAGAGGAAAAAAAACACAAGAGCGACTCTCGTGCCTATTATATATGTAAATGATGCAGCAACGGCGGCAGCAGCAGCAGCAGCAGCTCTTCTGACAATATATAATACAGGCGAATGTAAAGCGTACGGACACACACACACACACACACACACACACACGTAAACGGCTCTGGATATCGTTCCACAAAAATAGAACGAAATCTTTTTTTCGAAAAAGAAAAAACTCTGCGCACGTTGAATCGTTTTATTTTCGGCCTGCGAAACTTTGCGCGACCGTAGCCAGCCGCTCGTGTAGTACAGATAGTTCTCTCGCTTCGTTTTTTCTTTCCAACAATATATATAGATATTATTATTACAAGGGTATTATATACGGTAAAAAGATGTGTGCGCTATGGTATATAGATCATACGCTCGGCTCGTGTACTTCGGTTTATAGTTATTATACAATATTTTCGGGCGTCATAGGCGCACGAAAACGTTCACTCTCTTTTCTTTTCTTTCTCTCTCTGTGTCTCATTTTTTTTGCATAATTTCCGTAGGCGAATATAAACCATCGTAGCGTCGTTGCGAAGACGCAGCAAGAAAAAAAGAGGAACGTGCCTCGCGTGCGTGCGTGCGTAAATAGAGTAAATTAGAAGTTCGCGAAAAAGCCGCCGCCGCAGAGGCTGCTTAGCTGCTGCTACGTCTGGAGGCCAGTATTATATATCTGACGTTCTCCTATGCGCACAGCAAATATAGATATATTATAATAATAATACGCACTCAGTCGCGATGTAAAGAAGAGAAACGATATTTTGAAAATTTAGCTTTAATTTCGCAATTGTCTACCCTACACCTCTCGCTATTATTATATTATTATATTATCTCATCGTTTTAACTCTCGTTTATACATATCATTACTTGGGCTTTGACAAATAGAGAAGAATTAATTCAAGCTCATAAAAGCCGCGTGGGGCGATGTGTGAGTGAGTGTCTGCCTGCCTGCGTCGTTTCTTTTTTCCTTTCGCATAATACAGCGAATTGCGATAAATATATCGTATCGATGCTTCTGTCATTGCCAATACGCGCAATTTTTCTCGTATTATTTGCTCCGAATGGCTCAGAAGTCATTCTCTGGTATATGTAAGCCGCTTGTGCACGAAATAATACGATCAACCGCAGCAGAATTACATTATGACTTCGAAAACTGCTACCTGTCGTGCGTTCCGTATACTCGTATACGTTCATATATACCTTTATTACATCAAGTGTGTGTATGCGTTGCCTATATAGTCATGTCATCGGGTCGCCGCGGTTCGCGCAAATCTTCGTCTGCCTCTGTGTGTTATTAACTCTCTGCCTATATAACCTCGAATCGATCTCTCGCAGCGATACGCACCCGCGTTCAATAAATCATTTATATATTGTTTTCGAATCCTTTCGATCGCCCACGTATTTAAATCAAAAAACACATCTCAAAAAGGAAAGCAAAAAATTCAAAAATCCCATGCGTGCGTGGACCTATGGGGGGCTTATACTGGTTGTTTACGTTGGTGCGGCCTATGGCTTAGTTGCGCGCGGATATTCTCGTCGCCTTTTCGTATTTCCTATATACATATTGGTAGCTATATATATGCAGGTATACATATTAGCAGGCACGTTTGGGTGTGCTCTCGCTCGCGCGTGCGGCACTTGCGACTCCTTTTTTGTTTGTTTGTTTATCCTTGCACACGGCGAGATGAGTGAGAAAACTCGACAGATTATTACGTACTTATAAGCTTGTGCACTGAACTCGCGGCTTCTTATACATTATAATGTACACGCACGACGACACTTTACAACAACAGTATATACACGATATATAATAATGCCGCAGTACGGAGTCAGGCCACGCTATATATATGCGGCCAATGTAAACGTCGACTGACGACGACGACGGCTGACCAGCGAGGAAGAGAGAGAGAGAAAGGAATTGCGAATAAATCAAGTACAAGTTATCATCTCGCGTTGCTGCCACTACTATGCCTGCCTGCTGATGCTACTCCGAATGCTTCTGCCGCGTTTTTAACTGCATACAGCACGTTTAACTCACTCGCGTGTTGTTGTGATACATACAGAGAGGCAGAGAGAAAATAAGGAGTCGAGCAAAATATATAACATCGAGGAGACACTGCCTGCAGTTAATCCGCTACTGCTGCTGTTCACGGTTCGTCGCGCGGATGTTGATGTACGGTCGACGGCACACGCACCCACCCACACACACACACATAGACTTTGCACACTCTGCACGCATGTATAAGTAATGCGAAAAAAAAACCGTATATGTACTGCGGAAAATATTATATACTAACACGGAGCGTGTGTCTCTTTCTTGGCGAAGAGAGCTGCCGAGCGAGCTGTTGCTTGTGCCTTCGTGCTATATACACTAAAAGATATATTAACTACACCACTGACACTGGCCGCTGCAGGCCTTACACTGAACGCGCGCCGCTGCCGCCGCCGCCACCGCTGCCGCGAGGAGAAATCGCTGAGTCTGCTGCTGCTGCGGAACGTCTACAGTATCAACACGGTATATGTATACGCGCACACGGGCTGATGATATTGCGCGTGTGTGATTCTGGCGGCGGCCAGAAGACAGAACGAGAGAAAGAGAGAGAGAAGCGCCCCAGCAATGAATAGTTATGATTGTGGGTATATGGAAGATTCCCACTTGGTTGAATGGAGCAGAAATATCTTCTGCTAGTGCGGAACTGTATTTCAGAAACTGCTTTGAATTCTACTACAATTTTTGTGCTCCTGCAGAAGTATTTCTGAAAGGACCTTAATGATCTATTTTGCTTGAACATTAGATATTAGGAGAATCTGTTAAACTTACATTTCAGAATTAGGAACTCTGAAAAAACAGTGATTCGTACATTATTTCTAAAAATATTCAAGTTTAATAAAGTAAATGTACTGAAGTTGCCAAAGTATTTTGATGATTTTCCTGATGATACTTTTGTCGGAATTTCGATGACGTTTTCATGCACAGCTTGTCACAATATTAAAAATCTTGGGTTAATTTTTTTGAATTTTCTAATTCGGAGCAAATTTAACTATGATACTTTTCAAGCTATACTGTATTCTATTTCTTCGTTTCATCTGTATTCATTATATTCTATTGTTGATTTGTCTCTCAATTTACCACAGAACCCGTCCATATATAACTCGTGTACTTGCGCGCCGCGCATCGAAAGTACTCGCGGCCGATGGACGGGTAGGTAGCGCATTGAACGCCGGACGCGCGCACGTCTCGTACAGCTACTGGAAAAGGATTAGCGCTGTCGATAAGTTATCGCTAGGCGTGCGCGCAAACAGCAAAATTTACAACTGCGAGTGGCTCGCGCTTCGGTCGTTGGATGTGTACATACGTAAGCTGACTCCAAAAATGAATGAGCGAGAGCGAAGCGAGACTATAAAAGTTAAATTTTTTTGTGAATGATTTAATAATTGCTTTGATTTTTATGGTTTTAATTTCTTTTGTTTGGTTTTTTCGATTAACACTCTTCGTTAGTTTTATGTATTTCTGAGACTGGCGACTGAAAAAAAAGGTTTTTTATACACGAGCTGCATAAACACGACGAATTTTCATTAAAATTATTTTCCTGATATCCTCCGTGTCGTCTTCGAAATTGCCTCACGCGTTTTTCGCATTAAACACGAATCGTGGCCACGTAGACTTTTTCGCGACACGAAGTGCACATTAATTACCTTCACGGTCGATTATTCCTAACGAAGGAAAAAAGCCGCTCGATTTTTGCTCACAATCGTTCTTCGGTGTCTTATAATGAAGTGTTCAAGAGTGAGCTCGCTCTCGGTCGTTTTATTTTTCTGCCTCTTTGTCCCCAATAGAATAGTAGCCGACGGTACAGATGACTTGGACTCCTCCTTAGACGATTGGGAAAAACATTCGGATGGAAAATTTACGGATCTGGACGCGGAAGTGGATCTCGAGGAATGGGTGATGAATCACGGCTCGTTGTTCCATCCCGACGGAGTGTCCCAAGCAGCCCAAGACGTTTGGGCGCATTATCGTGAGTTGCTGCGAGACCGACCCAAGGTCGGTAAGGTCGGTAAGCGAGCCCGAATGAGTTCCGACGAGGACGAGCCCGAGGAGGCCGACATCAATCGCACCAAACTCTCGCCGAAGAAGGTCTCGACGATAAAAAATTTCCTGCTCTACATTCAAAAGCTCGACAGAAATTACGACACGTTCATATCGAGGCTCGAGTTCGTCAACGAGCTTTACAAGCAATTCCTGATAATGCAGTTCAGCGACGGTGCTTTCTTGCAATTGACCAAGAAGAGCTTCGCGGAAAACACCAGGAACAGACACAATACCGTGGAGCAGAGCATGAGGACGCTGCACGATCTGTTCCGCAGCTACGACGGCCTCGTGAATTACGTTACGAACGAGAATGCATTGGTAAGTTATCACTGTATAGCTCTTAAAATAACCATTATTTTAATTCTATATAATGATAATGGCATTATTATCCATAAAGGTGAAAAATGAAAGTATCAAGAAGATGTGCGAGTACAAGTTACCGCCCCACGTCCGGATCTTCGACACCTACAAGATGATCGCGCTCGCGGAAATCAAAACTTACGTGCTACTCATGTGGAAGATTAATTATTTCGACGAGGAAGGATTCCGTAAGCTCGCTGCGTTTAATTACAATTATCATGTACATTTTTTTTTACAATTAACGAAAACGTGCGAATTACATTCCGCAAAGAAAGTCTCGCTAGATTGAGTAATTATCGCGTGTGTCATTAAAGTCTCGAACGAGTCGTGGGACGTTGCCGCCGACGAAGAGGACTTCGTTTTGTCGGAGCTGGAGAAGAGAATGGAGACACTGTACAACTTCGTCAAGCCGAAATTGAAGATAGCCCATCGCGACCTTTGGAGATGCGACCCAATAAAACATGTCAGAGGTATGGGATAACACTATTGATCTTGCGAAATAATTGTAAATATCTCATGACTCACGATGTCGGTGAAAAAAAGGCAAGACTTACGAGGAGTTCGGGCCGGTGATACAGAAGTATATAATGATCGAAAACGCTCCTTATCCGTTCGAGCTTGTCAAAAGTAGCCCCAGCGGATACTGCACGGAAACATGCTCCGATTATCGAAAGACCGAGCAGAAGGGATGCTCGGTGTGGAACGACGACGGTGAGCAAAATGCTACTTTTGATTGTAACGAAAAGCTCGTAATTATTTGACGATCAATTTTACAGGCTGCGCCGAGTTCGCGAAGAACAAGTGCAATGGCACGATTCACATGTGCGAAGAAATGAAAAATCCCCTCACTGTTTGTCCCTCGGACGTACGTACAAGAAAATTACATTTTTATGCATTGAAAATATTCTGACCGCTGGTCTTTTTTGACAGGGTAAGAGCGATCGTAGATACGAATTTGTAGAATTTACCAATGGTGAGAAGTACGGTCACACCGACAGGATGTGCCCAACGGATAAGGTATACGCTTACGCGTTTCCGAAATTGTTCTGGAAATGCGACTATTGCGTTTGTACCTGCGAGGATGATAGCTCGGAAATCGATCGATTCATTAGCTTGAGAGAAGCAACGTCTGATATAGAGGAAAACAAGTAACTATTATTGGCAATTTTATTTATTTTTTTATTCTTGTCTCCTATTCTTTCTTTCTTTTAATTATTATAACAGAATCGTGACGGGCATTCGATTGCAAAAGAAAAATCACATATTCCACATTCAAATACAGCAGTCCCGTCTGCTGCCTCACGGAGAAGTCGACGAGGACGACGTGTCCTGGAAGCACCTGAATTTATTCAAAGTGCACGACGAAGGCGTAAAGGAGGACACCGATTATCACAAAATTTCATGGAATCGGCGCGGATTTGCCCTTGACAATGTAATCTTACCCATCGGTTTCGTGATGACGGGAGTGAAATTCTTTCAATCCAATGGAGTTCTCTTAAGCCTGTCTGTTCGCTCTACTCAGTTTGATTTCAACACGGGGAAACTCAGGCAAGATAACTCGGCTTGGAGCCACGTCGTATTGGGATTTGAGTAAGGCCAACTTGAAGTTTTTTTTATAAAATCCAAATTTCATTGGAGTGATTTTAAACTGCTTTTTTACATCTATATTTAGTTCACAAAATCCGTTCCCTTTCAATAATTCCGTGAGCCCGATCCAGCAAAGCCCGGACTTTCGCTCGAGGGGAAAAAGGAGGCATTGGCCCGACTCGAAGCCCGGCCAATACCTGGAACTGGTGAACTCGGATTTCAAAAGGGATCTGGGCCAGACGGTGCTACCGTTCGTCGACGTGCAATCGGTCAAGTCGAGAAAGCCGGTGCCGTTGGCCGGTGCTGGATTGCATCATAGGGGGCTCCAGGGCTCCGGTGGTTTTCTCGCCTTGAAAATGTTCAGTTACAATTTCGAGCCTCACATGCAGAAACGAGTTCACCGCGGCGACTAAAATGAAATCGCGGAGAAAAAAGAAATTATAATTAAAAGATGATTTCCATACGACGACAAGACATATTTAGACATAAGAAAATAAATCGAATAGAAGAGAAAATTTAATTACCATATTTGGTTTATAAGAATCATTAAAAGTATTAAATGAAATCTATGAATATTCAGGTGCAATATCCATTCTACACGTACACAAATATCAATTAATGATTTAGTCCTTTCTCCATTATAGATCAACTATACGCCTAAATGTTTGGGGTGTTCGGAATAGTCGTCGAGACGTATGCGCCTTGCAATTTTTTTATAGTTGAATATTTGAATTATAAACTATAATAAAGAAAATAGTGAATTTTTGATGGAGTATTATTATTTATTTTATTATATTATGTTTTATATTTTTCTAAAAGAAAATACTTTAAATTTTATTAATCAAAACTATCTTATCAAGAGTTTATATATTTATTGACTTTATATCAGTAAAAAAAATATTACAAAATTATTACAAAATTTTAAAAACTAATGTCTTGAAGCTGAAAATATAAATAGTTATCAATAATAATAACTGGAGCACTATGTGGTGTGTGTTACATACAATACAGTTTTGCACCATGCCGTCGTACTGTGTTTCAATTTTTCACATCTAGATGGCACTAACGCGTTCTGCTATTAATGCAAATTTTAGTCATTGTGCGTTGTTCTTCAATTTTTTCAAATTCCAAACAGTTTGTTCTGGATCGATTGCTCGTTTGATACAAAGTCTGTAAATAAATTGCTCACACTTTCTTCCATCTGAAATTCAAAGCAAATTTACTTTAAAAAGTTCCTGAAAAAGAGTATGTTTTACTCGGTAGGGAGATAAAAGGTCCAAAACAATTGGTCCAATGCCAAAAGATCCAAAATTCAAAGAAATGTAATTAATTGATTTGTAATATGTTCCAAAACATTTTTTAAGCAGATTTTTTTTTGAATTCCAGAGAAATTGGTGAAATTAAAAAAAAAACGATTGTTAACTGAAAATATTTAGAGATCAAACCATTTTATCATCAAAGATATTTACAAAAGTTACAAAATATCTTCGGATTAATGAGAATGTATTACTATCTTCATTTTGTACATTAAAGTTTGATTTAATATTGTTTTTCCATTTTTTCAGGTATCTCATTGATTTTAAACGAAAGAACGCAAAAATATTTAGCCAGATATTTTTGAAACAAATTTTTATTCGTTGAAAAACCAAAATTGAACACTTGATTCATTTCCACGAAAAATTGAATTTGCAGCTTTTTTACAAATTTTTAAAAATTCAAAAAATTACGGTCAATGCATTTATTGATGAAAAATTTATCTTGATGAGAAAAGGCATATGTACATCCGTGTAGTCATGATTATAGTGATTAGGCATTATACGCGTTAAAATTTCTAATTTGATTCGAAAAGAGACGCATTTAGAGAAACATGTATCCTCGGGTGTGAAATCTTACACTACGTGCGCTATATTGAAACCCCCACGCACAACTGATCAAAAGAACCCGTGATGATCGCGACAAATTTCATTTCTCTCGTGGCTTTTAAGTGACTCTGTTCATGGTGTGTACTCTCAAAATAAAATTCATGGTGCACCAAAAGATTATAAAGACTCGCCAACAATTCTCGCATACAGTGTATGAAAGTCCTTGCTAAAGCTCGTCCTGGAAGAGACAACTCATTACAGTGTTGAATTAATAGAAAAGTTTCACCGATGAACAGGATTCGTTTGATAACGTTATATTCAATTAAACAAAATTTATTTCAAAAATTGTTAAGTGATGAAGAGATGAGAATTATTGTATTCAAGAAAATCTTTCTTGTTATAACAGCATAAATTTTATGTTTAATTATTTCATTAAAACTTTTGCTAATAGAAGCGTTTTTCATCTATTATTCCTTTGTGATAATTATGAACTGGCTAATTAAGAAACTCAATAGCAGTGAAAGTGCCTTTGTTCTTCTAATCGCTAATAATTACTAAAAGTGCAAAATCTAAATGTTTCAATTTCTTAAACGTCTTTGTTGAATAGATTCAATTGAATACAAACGTCAAATCTCGATCAATAAATAGACATATGAATGTACTCGATTTTCATAAACGTTAATTTTAAATTGATTGTAAAGTACGAATGATCTCATTAGAAAATTAATTCGGTAAACTAATTAGGAAAAGCACACGGACCCACCTCTATACTTAATGCGTTTTTGTATGTAATCGCAACCGTTCTTGATTACGCTCCAAGTTTTCAACTGGTCAGTTTCCTCCACAATAATTAGCATGTCATAAAGATTGAAAATCTACCTATCATTTAAATCATCATATTCATAATTATTTTCATCCTCCGATCCAATTTTCATATCTAAGCTCGTAATCGTTGGTTCAATTTCACAGTGTTCATTACATGCTTTTATTCCACGAGGCTTATATAGGAGCGAAATGTACTCGAGCTTCTTTTACAAATAAACTTTTTAAACTTTTTCCGCTCGGTATAATGTATACGAACGAGGCATTGAACGAGACCATTCGCGGGCATCTCAAAATATCAATTTCACAAACGACTAATAACCATCGTTAAACATACATATTTCACTTTTACTCTGGACGAAAAATGCCACAACTTGTATACACACATAATACAAAACCAAAGCAGCCGAATGTCATAATTGGCGCAATTACACGCCGATTTATTAGTTTAGAAAAAAAAATTGCTCGACTTTGTATGTATGGCTATATGCTGCTGCACCGCTCGACCTATAATAGTTGTGTGTCTGCGCGGCCGTAAAATCACCGCGCGCACGATTTTGTCAATTCATTGGCGAGTGTATTTTGAATAATATATTTAACGAGGCAGCGTTTAAAGCGTTCACCGAGACCGAAAAAAAATCACCTTTGTCGAGGAAAAATTATATTTCACGCGCATCGCGCGACGTGTATAATACGGCAGTATTATACTGAAAAAAAAATCAACAACAACAACACCTGTCACGCTTTTCTAGGTAAAAAGATTTTTAAGAAGGCGAAATTTCGTTAAACGGCGAGTCGGCTATATCATACGAACAATACACGTGGTTTTATTATCCACACACTCGCACACAACTCAAAGGCTCGTGCACTCTTCGAAATTGAATAAAATGCTCAACTTTATGATATTTCGCTCTTCTTTCGTCAATACCCCCTCAGCTTACATGATACAACGTGCGCAGCGATAATTATACCTTGCCACTTTCACTTATCTTACACAAAAAAGCGTAATAGCTTAATGCAACTCTGCCTCGCGGTGTGTATAATGGAGCGAGCTCCTTGGCCATATACCTATCCTCTATCCTCTATACTGCAATGCGCCGCGCAGACATGTATCCTAACACACAGACTACAACAACTCACGATCCATCACTCGGAAAACATGTGCGCGCGGAGCTCCGAGCTCGTCGGGCTTTTAACGTATTATACGTTATGGCCCCGCAAGGTTTCTAGTAACATAATTTTTCGGTTTAAATAAATTATTCATGCAAATAATATAATTGGCCCCCCGACGTTTTTTTCTTCTTCTTCTTTTTCTGTATATTATAACTCAGGAGATATCAATGCTTGCGTCGACGCGCTCGGTTATATTATCGCGTTTGTGTGTGTGCAAACGTTAAAAGCGAGCGCGATAAAAGGCATTAATCATCATCGTGTATAATGTTAAGGAGATTCATAATTTTTGCGTACTTCAATTAATACTTCGTACACACATACGCACACGCTCTTCTGCGTTGCTGCACACACAGCTCTATCTTGATCTTGGCGCATGATCTCGACTTTCGACAGCATAGAAATTTGAGATATCGTGTGCGTACGCTCCGCACCGAGCACGCACGAAGCTATATACACAACACACACACACATACATATTGCTTACAGAACGAGATTATATTTTTATACATACACGAGTTAAAACTAATATAAACGCATCGGTTAGTAATAAATAAATGCGTGTAATAATATGATTATATATCCGATCGGCAATTGGCCACGATCGCTATACAGTCGAGCCTCGTACTTCCTCTGCGCGCGTATGGGTATTAAAACGATACGTACGTGTACGCGTGTATAATTATATAACGATAATCGCAATTGTTAAAAGGTCATTGATAAATGATTCTCGCGAGATATGTACGCGCGTATACTGCACATGCGTACATATATAAACGCTGCGCGTCCGCGAGTAAAAGTTTTTGCAGCTATATACCTTTCTCCAGCGCGTAAAGACGTGTACGCGTCGTGACTCTTTTTTTCCTTCTTTCTTTTTACTTTTCCTTTTTTTTTGTCTCCGTCCTCGTTTTTCGTCGCATCTCGGTATTTAATGCTCCGACGAGGAATCTTACGCATCATCGTGTGCGTTACAATGCTTCGTACATGTTGCATTGCGTCGTTGGAAAAGCTGCACATAGAGAAACAGATGGTGTGCGTGTGTGTGCGAAGACACGCGCACGATTCTTTGGCATTTACGACGAAGTGTGTACATTATACCATTACACACGTAAGCATTTGATCCTGTTTGTGTGTGTGTGTGTGTGCGTCGAGTATCGGCTTTAATAATACACGATATATAAAAAACGGAAAGAAAGAAAAAAAGGCGGAAACGAAGAAAGCCGCGGAGCGTGCAGCGCGCGGAGCACACCGCAGCTCGCATGCACCACAGCTCGAGCTTGCGAGCGCCAGTATGTGAGAGAGCTCAATTTATAAATGTAACATTGCCATTAGAATGGCTAATTGGCATCGCTTGCACGTGTATATGTATATTATACCGCCAGGTAGACGTACGATGCGTATTTGAGCGGCAAATGATTTCATCCAGTTCGTACGGAGAGAGATTTATGTTTTGCTATCTTTATATTTTTTAAGTGTTTTTTTTTTTTTTTTTTTTTGAGACGAATAGATCGCAGTGGCACTTTTTTATCCTTCCATATCGCGTCGCGTTAAAAGTAAACGCGTACAACTACGTAAGATACTTAAATACGCGCGCTCATGCATTTCCGAAACCATATATATACGTATTTGGAGCGCGGGGGAATTACTTTATACACACAATACGCACCAAGTCTCATAAACATGTATATCGGACGCGGAGAGAGGAAGGAAAAAACGAAGAAGTATACATACCGTATCACGACTGTACGTCGAAAATGATTTTCTATTTACAACTTTTTCGATATATATATTATGTGTTTTCCGTGACTGCTCGCAGTTTATTCGTCCAAGCTGCTGCTGCTGCCTTCCGAAAGCCTGTCATTACGTCTAAAATTGTTACTTCGTATATGCGTTATAAACTTTTGCGACTGCCATGCCAAGCTTCCGTGAAAATTATTGTAAAACGTTATACAATTCAGGCGTGTACGTACGCACGCTGACATCCGCCGTCAATAAAAGCAACAACAACAACAGGGGATAAGATTAAGTTGACTATGGAATTATCAACTTTACGCGGGTAAATATTTCTAAAATCAAGTACAAAAAAAGAGAGAACATTGAACGAATGATAATTATGAAAACTCGCGCTGCTCTAGACTCTCTCGCGAAACAGCACACACAACACAACGCAATTCCGCCGTCTTTCAAACGGAGATATAATAACAATCAGTCGAATTGCGGCATTATTATGAATAACGTATACATACGCGAGCATTAAAAAAAAATGCACGCGAGTTTAATGTTGTACGTCGGATATTTTAACGTGAATGCGTTTGTACTCTACGTACGCATGCATCATATACATATGCACACACACGTGTATGAAAGTATAATGTTCCGAGCGAGACTCTCTCTAATGCAATTCGCATAATTTACGCGTTTCAGTTGGTTTGTTTTTGTTTTGTTGTTGTTGTGGTTGTTGCTCCCGTCGTCGTCGTTGTTGTCGTATTGTTCGAAACCAACAGCCGAAGTGACATTTTTGGACTGCACAATTCGCGTGGGAAAATTTCCGATTTGTAATATTATTATCTCGGGCTTGAGTGACGTAGATGAGAAATATTTTATTTATCATTATTTATTTTTTAAATTCGAATCGAACATAATGAAATCATTCATCATCGACGCGAAGCATTGGATTAACGTTAAGTATATAGGTGCTCAAGTAGATCTTACTCAATGCAGTGTTTATGTGAGGCCGAACGTGAAGTTACGGAAACTGCACCGCCTCCGCGCGGATCAATGACCCCCTCATAAGTATAAAAACAAAAGTATAGGTGCCTATCTATATAGGTATATCACAACATATCGTAAACACAGCGATGAAAGATGATTGTGCGAGGTTAGGTTCGAACTTTGAAGCATCGCGTTTGTATTTTGTAAACACAGGAGCGCCGCTCTGTAGCAGACGGAAAAAAGTCCGCAACGGTTTTGCGCGCGTTGTTTATACTCGCTACTTGTTGCATCGTGCCGCCGCCGCCGGTTACCGGCATGCTTTCGGTTATGCGTACGCGAGCGAATGCAGGTGATTTTGGCGTCCTGAAATCATGCTGCAAATGTATTCGTTCTAATTTGCCATCTCGGTGTGCAGAATGTTGCATAGGTTTTAGAAATTGATTTTGTACCGATGAATAAAGTGCGGTATCGGCTCGCATTAATTTAGTGTACGAAAAATATTGTCCTTTCAAGGCTATTAAACATCTATCGTCCGAGTGTCACCGACTGCATAAACAATGTGCGATCCACCAAAAGCTAAAAAACCAAGACTCGAAGGAGCAACTTTCTTGGAGCTGAAAGAAAAACTCCGTCGAAAGAAGAAAATACTCATTGCTATTCCAAGATTGCAATTACTTCCAGCCGGACTGAGCGCGAGTTTATCCATCAACCCCAAAGATGATGATAGAATACCAATATTTTTGAGTGATGTTCAGAACTTACTCATGTATTCTATAGCAGGAACTAGCTCTCCGTATGTGCCTGAAAGATGGTGCAAAGTGGAAAAGTTCAACAGAATATCCCATACAGTAGTATTGATTGTTGAGGGTTTACACTTGAATCATTACAAAGCTAATGAAAAGATTCTTCATACATTAAAGTCTTGTATGGATCATAAATTAGAACTGGTAACCCCAGCTACTTTTAACGGATCCATTGCAGAAGAAATTATTGCTGTGCCTCTCACTGGAGCTCACAGAAAATCTTTAATTAAATGTTATGGATCTTTGGAAGCAGCAGGTGATCAAGCAAAAGATTTAATTAAATTAAAACCAATTGTTTATCCTGCTCAAAAAGGTGACTTACTTTTCTATTATTCTAATAAAGCACAGTAAAAAATATTAAATTGTTATTTTTATCTTTTTGCAGTTGAAAGTAAAAATCATTCCACAGATACTGAAGACTTACCAGACAGTGACAAGTTTTCAAGAACAGAATTAATACTTTCTCCAATGCAATTAATAGAAGAAGGTTATCCAATACCTTCTAAAGGAGGTTTAGCTAAAATTTATGAAGATTTTGAATTTACAAAGGAAGAATATGCTGAAGTGAATTCTAGATCACCCATGTTTGGTTTGGATTGTGAAATGTGTAAAACAACACAGTGTGTTTTGGAACTTACACGTATATCAATCATTGATGAGCATCTGAATGTTGTATATGAAACCCTAGTAAAACCGCCTCATGAAATTATTGACTACCTTACTGAGTACAGTGGAATAACAGAAGAAATGATGGAGAACGTAACAATAACATTGAAAGATGTGCAAGAAAGTATCAAAAAAATTCTCCCTGCTGATGCTATTTTAGTAGGTCAGAGTCTTGACTCTGACTTACAAGCTTTAAAAATGATGCATCCTTATGTGATAGACACATCTGTTATATTTAATATGACTGGTGATAGATATCGTAAATCAAAGTTAGAAGTTCTGTCTCAAACTTTTTTAAATGAACGTATTCAAGATGGTGAAAATGGTCATTGCTTCAGACAAGATTCAGTAGCTTCTATGAAATTAGTCAAATTAAAATTGTCAAATACGCCTGATTTTGGAGATTTAGTTCTTGTCCCGCACTCTTGTCAACAAATTCTAGCATCATCAATATTTAAGCAAATCAATAAAGAGGAACCAAAGTCAGCAGTGATTGCTGGAAATCCTTTAATTATGAGTGAATATAGCAAAGTTTTAAAAGGATCAACTTTGAAGATGACGAATGATGAACATTTTCAACAAGATGACCTATTAAGGATAGTTGTAAAAGACACCAACAAAGACGTCATAAAAAGGTATTTAGAAGTAATGACAGAACATGCTTTAAACCTTTGTCACATCAAATTGACCAAAAAGGAATTAGATGAAGAAAACATAGCTAAAACACTCAAATCTGTAAACAAGTGGGTAAAAAAAATATGGAATCAAGTGACAAATCATGGTTTAGTATGTGTTATATTTAGTGGAACAAATGATCCAGAAAATGGTGGTTGTTTTCTAAGTATTAAGAAAAATACATCCAATGATTTAATTGATAAATTAGAAAGTGAATTTAATAAGTTTAAAAGTTCTCAAGCTCCTATACCAATGACACTTATTGATTAAAAGATAATCAAATGAAATTTTAGGTCATGTAGGTAATCTACTTAATATGTATAGCAAATTGTTAAAATGACCATAAAATTGCATAGAACCAAGTACAACAATTCTAATCATGTTTATGAGCATTATATTTTTATAACTCAATCGATTTTTAACTTACTTGTTCATTAAAATAGTATAGAAATAAATAAGTTCATGAAATAAATCAAATGAAAATGAAAATATAATTTGATTGATATTATAAGCTCCAGTAAGATAGAGTAATTTTAAACTGAAATTGTTAAATTATATATCTGCAGTCTAAAAGTACTGTTTATTTCTAGATAATCATAAGGAATTTTTCATGAACTATTATTTTTGTCGATTGTATGTGAATTAATTTTTTTATTTATAGTACAATTTTACAATAGACGCAATTTCGAAACATACACAAAATGTCTCTTGTCTTTTGCAACCCTAATCGTCGAAAAAATAGATCTCGCATTGATAAAATTTATCACAAACGATCGAATATTTTCAAGTTAAAAAAAAACAGAAATATAAAGTGTTAACTTTATGCGTGTTTATGAGAAAAACAAACCCAAGCAATATCTCTCTCTCTCTCATGCTACCTTACAGCGAAAATGAATAAACAACACAAGAGGCAATAACGAAAAATTGTGAAAAACTAAAACAGCAGGTCACTTATTTAGTTCGGCATGCGAGTCGCGCGCGGACTTTTAAAGGCAGTCGACCACGCGATATATAGGTAAAAAAAAAAATACATATATAAGTTAACGCTACGGGCACATTGTGCGTTTCTTTTTCCGCGCCTTTCTCAGCTCTCCTTCTTAGCTTATATATATATATATTGCACGTGTGCGTATAATAATATTATATAGATATAGATATATGTATAAGAAATATTATAACAAGTTGCACAACGTCACCAACGCGCGTACGTACATACGTGCGTATTTAGTGCATGTGTGTGTGTAATGTAGAGCTTTAGAAGCTGTTAGACAATTCATGTAACTTCTTGGATAATATTTTGTGCTCAGCTCAAGCGCGTGTAATTTCTATATATATGTATGCCGTGTGTGTGTGCGTACGTCTACAGCACATAACGTTTTGGTATGTGAGAAGCTTTATTGTTTTCCGCGCGGCATATAGACGCGCATAAAACTTGACGCAACAATTAAAGGAGATCACAGCAACAGCAGCAGCAGCAACACAGGAGTACACACGCGTGCGCGTATTATTAATGACGTTTTTCTTCATTTTTTTTCTCCACGTGTTACCCCATGTGCGGAAAGAGCCGCAACTTTATTACATTTTTCTCTTTCATTTTTTTCCTACGTATAGGCAGTGCGCGATGCCAAATTACTGTCTATTTCTATATTACTATCTCTCACTTATTTACTCGATCGCGCGTCTCGTAGGCGCATTAAGAGATACTCATAAGAGGATTAATTAGGGGAAAAAGTCGCGTTCGCACTCTCCGGCTCGAGCTACTCTCTCATGCGCGCGCGCGTAATATCTTTGGAATTAATTTCGATAATTTAACGGCGAGTCTCTCTCTACGCTTTATAATTCGAGTTATGCATATAATGTTATTATACACATACATAAACACACGCAGCGATTCTTTACGAGGTAGCCTCTAAGCAAATATATGTACACAAGCGGGCAAAGATCGTACATATATTTCACTTTCATAGTTGTATAAATATATGAGCAGCAGCGGCAGCGGGGCGCAATGCTATATAATTTACGGATTATTATGCATTTGCTCGTGCGGCGGCGATGCGTTCACGTAATTTTTGGCCTACATATCTTATCGGCGGTGCACATGTGTACATTTGCGGAAAACACACGATATAAACGTCGCGACGTGAACACGATGAGAGTTCCTCATATCAACTCGAGCGCACGATTTCCGATAGTCCGCGCGATTCCGAAAGAACCCGATCTTTCGTGCGTATCCATAAGAATTCATTTATTCCTTATTTTTTTTTCTCTCTTTCTATTTTGCTCCGGTTAAAAGCTCATAAAATCAAGTAATTAGCCGTAAAGCACCGGGTACGGTGCTCAAATAATAGGCATAGGATTGTTTTTTTTTATTTTCAAGCTGCGTACTAAAAAAAAGATACATGCAAAACATCCATCATGAATATCAGTCATACGGCCTAGCTTTAATATTAATGGGAGTCCCCGTTCGCACAAACGGCTCACACAGACGGCAGTAGCAGCGGCAATTTAACGCCAAATACACAATCCACCTAAATACACCGGCGCGCGCGCGCGTCGTAATTTGAAAAGCTCTCCGATATTTTCTCACACGCGCGGCAGAAATTATGCGCTCGCCGCAGTGTCGCAATGCGACAGCCTGCCGAATCGATCAATTATAATAATTCATATAGTTTTTTTTCCTCTCTCTCTCTCTCTCTGCAAACGCGTCGCAATGTGACTTTGTCGTTGTCGTCGTTGTGCATTATAGACTTTTCCCTCGTCGTCGTCAGCCTATATAGCTCTCTGTGCGCGCGGCTGCCACATTATTGCGATATATGGGGCCTTCCCGCGGCCCATTCGCGTAATCTCGGTCTCTCTCTCTTTTTTAAACTTTGAATGCATTTCCTGTGTCGTATACCGCGCCAAGCCACGCTGTACAAATCTTATAATACGTCGCGCTGTTTACATTGTCTCGCGCGTGAATTGTCAGTTTTGCGTGCGCACCGCGTCTCTCGCTTGAGTAAAATATAAACTCGCGCGCGCTCTGCCTATAGGCTAAGGTGTATACTGTATATACCTATACATACATTTAGTTTCTTGTCTTTTAAGCGCGCGCGACAGTTTCGTCATGCACACTGCTGCTGCTGCTGCAGCGACCGCTCATGCAGCTCGACCGATACATTTTATAATAAATTATCAATTATGCACCGTGAAGTAATACCTCAACTGTGCGTGTCGCTTTTTGCATATTACACGCAAGCGTAACGACGGCGGATGTATCGTGTCCGCGCGCAGGATCTACAGCGGACGATGGAGGCGTCTGTATAATTGAAGAGGAAGATATTTTTTTTCTCTCCTCCACTTTTGTATTAATTGGTCGCGAGTGTATAATGTAACCAATGAGTAAAAGTATAGAATCGATTGGAGAAATAAATAATTGATAGTTGCGGCGGCAAATTGCGATCGGCGTCGCGCGGCGCGACAAAATTAAGACGCGGTACATGCACGCGCGCTCGCCGTTCGCTTATTACAGGGAGTGCACCGGGGAGAGAGAGAAAAAAAAGCAGTCGCTTATTAGCATATGTTTATAATATATAATCGTGCGTCTCTGCGCGCACAAAGATAACTTCCTGAAAACTCGGCGCGCGGCCGCGAACGAAACTCGCGCAAATTAATATTTCATATTTTATATTTTTTTCTTTTCTCGCCCGCCGATTCGCTTTAACGTTATCATTATTTTGCGGCTATAATTGAGCCAAAAAATATAGAACGGAAAAATGCGGCATTTCTCTTGCTCTCGGATATGTGTCTCATATACGTACGCATTTGACGCGCGATACGCAATATAATTGCAAAATAACGCAGTTGATTAAACGTGACGCTAATGCACGAAACAAGTGGCCAATTTGATATAGAGAGCGCATAGAGAGAAAGCAAAAAAACAATATGATATTTTTAAGCGCGTTTTAGAGTGCCATGCCGCAGTTAATATGGCTTATGTTATTGGGCTGTGCGCGGCATAATGTGAGTAGTACGCGTTACGGCTCTCACGTGTGCGCACTCATAAATACATACGATATCGTATTATATCCGAAAAGTCGCGTGTCGGCTCGAATTTCATTGATTGAAATTATCGAAAAATAACGAAAGGAAATTAAGAAAAGAAAAAAGGAACGATTTTATCGGCGACTATAATGAATTAATAAATTAATAATTATTGATGAACGAAACGGGCCCGTTGACAGGGAAAGTTGTTTTCTCGAATATGTATCGAGCTACGCGCTAGGCACTACACGGTATATAACACATTTTATAAACGTATTTATTTATACATAGAGTTGAAATCGAGTTTCATCTGGTTTTCGTACGCAGTATCCAAGTCCTGGGCTCGCGCGCGCATTATGCCATCATAATGGAAAGAAATGCGCGCGCGCGCCTCGAACGATCGATCGCGCTCGTGCCGATTTATTTAGAGAAAAACGAGTAAAACAGGTCTAAATGGTGCGAGCAGCCGTGGTGGGCCCTATACATATCCAATTTTTTTTTTAATTCTGCCCGCAGTGCGCAAACAGTACGTTTATAACCGCGCGCGCGATTGATTTCGTCGTTGTCAATCAATTATACGTCGCGTAGTTTTGGAGTGTACATACGCGAGCGTAAAATGCACATTTATATATATAGATCGCGGCGTATGGGTGCATTTCTCGCGCGCGCGCGCGCGCGCCCGATAAGCAAGTGAAAATGTAAATACTGCTGCGGTACATACGTACACGTATATATGTTAGGTGCGCGCGCGCGACATTCCTCGAACTGCACGCAGCAGCAGCAGCAGCAGCTTATTTGACAAGCCCGCGAGCGATCTCTTTTTTTTCGCGTCTTTTTTTTTCGTTCATTTATTTATTTATTTATACGCGTCTCGCGCGAGCTCTAGGCGCGCAAACGAGGTGTACGGCATATCCGGCTTGCTTTACATAGAATTGAGAAATATGGCGTGTGGCGACAAAATCGCTCGGACGCATAGACAGCAGCAGCAGTCAAAGAGAGAAGGTGTATACAAAATGTATATATACGTTTACATTTATATATAGGTACGGGATAGACACACACACGCTATATTATAAACGAGCGTAATATGTAACACGTACGCGACAAATAGCTTATCACGCGCTGCTATAGAGCTGCACTTGTGTACACTCATACACACATACGCTTATAACGCATGCATCTACTCTATAAGCTCGTTTATAATACGGCAAAATGAATCGAGGAGCGAGTGAGTTGTCTTTTTTCGCTTATACTCGGAGGCGGCCAGCGAGCTCGTATATATGTATAATAACATGCACCGCGTGTGCACTTACACTTTCGTGCTGCAGCTCTCC